AGAAGGCCAGCAGTGAACTCTAAACTGACAACCACGGGGAAGTTTGTTCTTCTCCAGCCTCTCGTCTAATCTGGCCACACAATAATGAGGCAGAGTCCAAACAAACCTACATTTCTGCAGTCAATTTTTCATTCAGCTCGGTGTCTCAGACACTCTGCCCTCTCTCTGTCTGGCTGGGACTTGGAGACCAGTGCCAGAGGTAGACATGTTCCCCAGGTCATGATAATTCAATGCAGGCGGGGGTTTGACAAATAGCATTAAGAAGCAGTGTGGACAGGTGGAGGCACAGATATGGCAGCAAAGGTGCCGGAGAGAAGACCTGGGGATGGTTCCCCAGGACTGGACATGTCCGTTGAGCCTCCTCATTAGACATAAAGTCTGTCCATGATGAAAGGTCTCATCAATCCTAGACTGCCATCACTGACCTGCAGGTGGCAGCTTTCCAGCTCATAACCACAGTATCTTTATAAATAAGACGTCCAGTACTGGTGTGGTGTTCATTGATGAAGTGGGCTGCGGAAATTAGACCACGCTACTAATCACATGTGAGGCTGTCGTTATTTATGTTGGTTCTGGTTAAGGAAACTGCCTGGCTTCAGGATGAATGGTGCAGTGTGGTAATTGTATGCAACATCTTTTGTAATTTTTGTGAAACATCGACTTAGAACTAAAAATATCCACAGAAAATTATTCATATCAGGGAAAAAGAGGAACAGAGGCAGGGGAGCTAAATTTGGCCAGGAGCAGTTTCTGGGGCAAGTTTGGAGAAGACGTTTGTTGCATCACACAGTGAAACTTTCCACAGTTTCCACAGATGGTTGTTTCATCTAAAATGCATCCTCCATATATACCATAAAATGCAGAGCCCACACACTGTGTGTGGAGTACAGCCGTATAGACCTAATTCCCAAAGTGAATGCGGGGCAAATGTTGAGAGGAGAACTCCACTCGGCAGAACATCTGCCGGTCAAATGTCAAGTAGAAGATGTCAAGTCTCACAACTGGTGCGGCAGCATCTCTAAAGCAACCCACTCATACGTTGGTATAAAAAAGCATGCATAAATGTTTAGTAATGCAGCAGAGCCAACCTTACAGACATCAAAGTGTCGTTTCATGCAAAAATATCCTTCATTAGAGAAAGCACAGCATGGAGTTGAGCATCTGGGGAAACTGTTGGGGGGCTTCTTGTAGGCAACTTTGGTAACGGTTATTATTTTATTTCTGTGAATTGCCCATCTTAAAGTGTGAACCCTGCCCCCGCCTGGTAGCTGTTGGGATTGCCTACAGCCAGCCCTGTGACCCCGGCAGGATTAAATCACCACAGAAGATCAATAAATGAATGGCAGTGATGAATTTGGGTTGAACCCCAATTATACCCAAATATTATGAGTTTCTCTTGACAACACTGGAAGAATATTTTACTTTTAGGACCAGGAAACGTCAACAAAGAATAGTTACCTCTCATAGTAAAACAGTTAGGGCTTAAAATTATTTAGTATTCATTCATCATAGTAAAACAGTTAGGGCTTAAAATGACATTATTTAGTATTCATTTTTAATTAAACAAACCCATCCTTACTAGTACTGTTCTACCAAAAAGAAAAAGAAAATCCCATCCTTACTAGTACTGTTCTACCAAGAAAAAAAAGAAAAAAGAAGCCAGGATTGATAAAAATAGATGACTTTCCAATGGCAAAGTTGTCTAAATGATGAAACACGACATGACAGGAGCAGTGGTCTGGAGATGAGTCCAACCCCCCCGCAGGCAGGGCTGCTCAGTAGTGGTGGGCTGACCGCAGTCATAGACAGTGATGCCCAGTCATCAGTATTTTTACTTATATATACAGTTGTGATATTCCAGACTCACTCCTCCCACACACGTAGTCCCACACAATGGACAAACCAAAAGTGACTCTGCACATTTCTTTTTGGCTCCCCGTCCAATCAGCAGTGACTAAAACATGACAGCTGGCTGGATACATTACATGTTGCCCTTTCTCTAACAAGAACTGTGTTGGCAATGAAGACTTGTCACCACTGTTGAGGTGAACAGTGTCTGCTGCCATTTTGGCATAAAATCAACTCTTTCTGGTCAAACATCCAACCAGTACTATTTAGTTGGGAGTGAGGTTGAAGAGACTGAAATGAAAGGAGAAATATATATATAAATAAAAAAGGCAATTCGCCTATTTAAAATAATCCTCCCATCTTCTTCAGTAAAACACGACATCACATTTACAAGGAAAGCAACAAGATCCTCCAATAAAAGCCTGGTTATGGGTAACAATGCCGCCAACACCGCTACATCACCCCCGACCCCCCGAGCCCCAATCAATTATACAGGGTATCGACTCATACGTAACGACTCTTGCGGTGCTCCTTAATGGGATTTCAACTCACAAAACCAATGTTTCTTTTTCTGTAGTAAGATGAGAATCTCTACGAGAGAATGGTTTTTCAGATATAAAAGTTTACATAAAATTAGCGTAATGAAATGGAATACGAGCAGATTCCCCTTTAAAATGTCGTGTGTAACTGAAGGGTTACTGAGGCTGATCCAACAAGGTCGTGTAAGTGCATCAACAGTCCATAGCGCTGAGCTTCACACACAGATGTACAGAAACAGATATTTAGGCGTCACAGATCTGAGTGAGGCTCTGTTGTAAAACATTAATGGCTATAAAGGCAGCTGTTCCTGGAAGCTGTGTCCATTAAGCACTCAGCGCCGTTTACACCCTGATTCCATGTCCACTTGTAGCCATTACTTCATTAAAGGTTGGCTACGTCCCAGACCATGCCACTCTACTTATCTACGTCTTGCAGATGGGGCAGCAACATTTTCCGATATCATAACAACAGAAAACAAAATTGAAAACAACTGCCAGTGAGAATCGTCTGTCTTGTCACTTATTTTACAATTCTTTCTGCCACCATCCCACACAGACACTTTCCATCTCAGGCAGGATTTGATCTGATGCTGACAACGCGCTCCGACTGTACTGCATATACTGAATTGTTGTGCTTTAGTCAGGGCTGACATACTGTAAATTTAGGAGATATTTACGTATGAGCTCGAGAGTCCTCTGTATTTGCTCAAATATAATGTGATCCTTTGTATGAACTGGAGAAGAACTGGCGTTCAACCAATATAGTGACAAATGACAATTCAACATGGAGTTATCAGTTGATATGAGTTGCACTAAAAGCCCACGTCAACTCTAGGAGAACCACTACCGGAGTCAAACCAGTGACCTTGTTGTTAAAGCACTAACCACTCCTCCACTGTGCCTCTAGTTTAAAATGTACTCTACATTTAATGGAGAAATACATCTCTGAATGTTACACAGAATCAATAGCCAGGCACTTAAAGACACAGGAACATCATTTCTCTCTCTTTTTTTTAATGATCGAAGCAGCGTTCCGTCTGTCTGCACAGTGACATCCAGATAGATCCAGATAGAACCCAATTATGGCCATTGGTAATAATAGTAACGTACATTATGATGTTATTCCTCCTGACCTGTCTGTCCGAGGAGAGCCGTGCCAGGACATTGTCCAATTAAAGTGCATTATGAGTTCATTAACATCATGGATCGCACAATGTCAACCAGGCACAAAGTTCTGCTGCCGGCCTTGGCCGAGTAATGAGGAAGCTGCTGGTCTGTCTGACAGACACTGCTCGACATGACGTGGCCATAAACAAAGAGAGTTGAATTTGGTTTTTGGGTTTTTTTTGTTTTCAGTTTGAATTACACTGAAATGTTAAACTTAACAAATATTAGATGACTTTCTTCTGTTCTTTTTTGGGGAGCAGAGTTCGGCCGTGAGTGGAGGAACTGAACTGTAGCAGCACCTTCTTCCCTACCCTGGTACAGAGGAGATGCCCCACAGACATCCAGAGACGACTGTTGGGTTAGCCATACTCATAGTAGATGAAGATGATTCCTGCACCTTAGAAACAGCACAAACACCCATGGACCTGACAGAGCAGGATGAGAACCCGAAGTTCAAAGTTTACATGGAAAGATGCTCCCGCTGTGCTGCACGGCAGGGTGCGGCTGAATTTCTGCTGCTCAAAGGTGTTCAGTGATCTCCTGAAATGACTGCCAAGGCCTGGAGTAACCCAAGATGAACTGGATAAACTGTACTGATCTCACAAGCTCAGAGGCTTTCCCTGTTTTTTGACGAAAAAGGCAGATCTTTTTAGATATAAGGTGTTAATGACACCGCTGTGCCAGTTTGTGTTCAGTAGCAGTTAGACACAGTTGTGGTTTTATCTATTTGGTGATTACTTTGTGTGAACTAGCGAGAGAAGCGTCTGACTGGTCAACACTCAGACCACGTGACAGAGTAGGTTGATGCTGAGCATCACATTTAGAGTAGAGTGTTTTCGTTTCTTGCCAAAACCCGATGCTAACTGTCCACGCGGCCACGTTCATTATATAGCAGTATATTGTAGAAACTGTTTAGGTTTCCATACAGCAAACTGAGTGATTACTCTGTAGTGTGTTGTTTCAGACAAAAAAAAACACAATGCTGTCGCACAAGGTTCTAGAGTAGGTCATTCATACGTATACGTATATCTGTTACTTTTCCTGACAGTGGAAGAGAAGAGATCTGAGTCTGACTGATTTATTCCACCTCCAACATTATTAGCTATCAGGGATGTCTTCTGAACAGCAGAGAATGTTACACCTAGTTAAACCTAACCTTAACTGTGGGCTCTAAGCCAACAGAGCCATTATGAGCCTGTAAAGTATAAGGTGCGTAAATGGTAGTGGCCTCTGCAATCTCATCCGCTGACTTGTTTGCCCTTCTTTAGCTTCAACACATTAGCAATATGATGCAGGACACGAGGCTCCTCCTCCCTATGGTTTCTTTAGGTGGACTCCATACCCCACACTGGCACATGGTGTCTGATTAGCCATAGAAGAAGAAGACAAAAAAACATGTAAACATAAACAATCTCCTTGACCGTCAGCAATAATAATAATGTAATGTAGACCAATCAGGACGATGGAAGAGTAAAGAGCACATCATAACCACTGAGGTTTTTATGGCTTGGTTTATACGCAAGTCAAAGCAGAACAGATAAGAACGTGAAGTGTTTCTGCATCCATGAAGTCATTTTTCTATGTCAACAAGTAGGAGAACAGTAAGAAGTGTTCAGGACACAAGGATCTTCAGGCCAAGAACCCGTGTACGGAACCCAAAATATAAAACGAGTCCATTCAAACTGTCACCACCCCACTGCAGTATCCTCAAGGATTCCTGTCCTCTGACGATGGCCTCAATCACAAAAAAAGATATTTCAAGACGCTAATAATGACTACATGGCAGAATATTTCCAATAATAAAGTATTGTACTTGCTTGTTATTTGAATAATAATATCCCTAGTTAGTACGTGTAGTAATTACAAAAGCAGAAAATTAAATGTCTAATTAAATTTAAATTTCCTTGGTGAAATTATTTTGAGTAAGCGCCAAAATCATCTGAATCAAGGAAACTCTCATTCCACAAATCCAATGAGTCGATATTTTTTATGTCGATTATTTTTTATTAAGACAGTAAAAAATGAATCTTCTCAATATATCATCCCAAAAACTGTGTGTAATGTCAGATGTTCTCCATTCTGTGTGAGGAGAGCAAACAGAGCTGACGCCAGACTGTATGAATGTGAAGACAGGTGGACAGAAGGTGGATACACCAGAGGGCTGTCTGTTCAGATCCTGCCTGTGGAACAGCTGCCAAGCTGGTATTCACACCAACCCTCTGCCCAACACACACACACACACACACACACACACGACATCATCCCTGTCAAAGTCTCACAGCAGAAACTGTTATTTGTTGTCCCCTGCATGGGGCTTCTATAAGTCACTGTCTCTGTCTCTGTCTCTGTTGTGTGTACAGTGGACCTGAACGGAACTCTCATCAAGTGCAGTGAGCTCAGTACGTTGGGCTTCACCCACAGTTATCAGCAATAAAAATGGACATTTGCTGAGTTGCTGGTGCAAAGCTCGTAACCGTTTTTCAGGCACTGTTTGTAGAGGAGGAGAAGCAGAAAGAGTTCAGGTAAAATAATTGGCTCCGAGATCATTTCATTTCTGCGGCTGCCTCCTTATTCCCACAGTGTGAACAGCTGCAGCCGACAGTGGAGTTTGGAACAGGTGCAGAAATACAAAGGGGATTTAATTAGTCCGTGATGCTGGATAAGTGTGAAAAAGCTAATATGTTACAAAATATTCTTAATTCAGGGTCCTCTGCTGAGAGGTTGGACGTGTGATGAAGTGGAGAAAGTCTGCACTGTGGCCAATGAAGTCATAAACTCACCCAAAGTAAAGAAAAAAAACAAACAAACAAAGAGTTTAGTTTTCTTGATGAGTCGTAGCAGGGTCAAAATGATGAGGGTTTTTTTTTCTCTAGTTTCTTAACATGTTACAACTTAGTTCTGTGATGTTTTATGTTTTCTTGACTCCGACCTGATGTGACGTGGTACTGTAAACTGTATCGGCTCGGCCTTCTCCCTCGAAACGTTCAAATAAATAAGAAAATAAAAATAAAAGTTGGGGAGAGGGGAGCACACATCCGTGTCAGTCTCTCCAGGTTGTCATGTAACAGTTGCCTTACAGTTGAAAACCCACCTGTACACACAGAAGCTTTGTAGTGGTTGATACCTCACTTTTTTGGGTGTGGTGGTGTTGATGTGCACCACATTCTGTCTACGTATTTACTACTAGATAGAATGTACGGTTTTTCAGTCGGATTGTTATTGCACTTGTTGACTTTGTATTGTCACAACAGGGAAAAATAAAGTTTTATCTTTTTCAGTGTGTTTAAATCCTTGTCTGTCAAGTGCTCTTCGACTGCAGCAACACAACTGCGCCAGTAAATAACGTCAGATGTGTGTTCAAATATATGTGGCACAAACTCGAACATTTTATGGTGTTTTAGACTGTAGTAAAAAGTATTATTTAAGGGCTTTATTTTACAGGGCTGTCAACGTGAGTACAATAGTTTATTTGTGAAATTAATCAGATTAAAACGTTTTTAACACATGCAGAATGATGGACCTGTTTATCCAATCCTACCAACATCCATCAACTTCTGTCATTTTCACACACTGCTGTGATGCATTTTACTTTCAGTGAAGAATCTCAAACTTAAAATAACAGATTAATTTCTTCCTCCACATTTTATTCTCAATTATGTTATAATTATTCAAGATACCTAAAACATATCATCAGACTGACTTGGCTTGAATCTCTGGCAGCCAAATTTAAATTAAATATAATTTACCAACATTACACAGATGTGGATCTGTTTTCAATTACAGTGACATTAAGTGTGAAATGTTGCTTTTTACAGTTTTGCACGCTTTCATGTCAGTCTAAAGTATTTAAACATCTGACCCAGACAGTCTCTTGACCCATGTGGTCATTTGCTGCATCACATCCTCTCTGTCCTATTATTCCAGTCTACCTCAGTTCCTATTTAATAAATGCATCCAAGAAATGAATAGAGACGATATTTTATATTCTTTGTCCTTGGCTACTTTCCATTAAAAGGACAGCGTCCCGGTCCTTCCTACAGTCAGCAGCTTAGTCACAGATGAGTGACAAAATTGAGAGCATATGTTCTGATGTGGTGAATAATTTTCCTTTCCACCCGTAGGGGGTGGGGCGGTGCTGCTAAAGTATGACATCAGCCAAGGAACTATTTTTCAAAGTCTACATTTTTTGACATATCTAAATAACATGTGACATAAACCTGTGTCAAACCCTCATCCATTCGTCCATCATCCTGCCAGAGTTGAGTTTCCCTGCGCTGTCATCACTCCCCCCTCCATCCACTCCATCTGTGCTCCCCTCCTTCCTGAAATCATCCTCTCATCTGCACATATGAAACCAATTACAGGCATCCATCTACATTTAAAATCCATCGTCTTGATTTTCACATCCTGCTGTGATAGAGGAGCCTCAGATACATCCTGCCAGTGTCTATTAAAACTCCATTAGGTTCCGAGTCTCGAGTGCTTTAGCTACACTGGTCAGATCTTCAGAGGCAATTACAGTGCATTAAAATCCATCTGCTCTGGACATGTCCGCCGTGCTTCCTGTAAGATCACTTTCTTCCTGATGATCCTTTTGTAAAACCAATTATTATTATTATTATGTCATATTTCTGATAGTCATTTTGTTTGTGATGATGGAAGTGGATCAGATGAGTTAATGCTTCGATGTAAAATGTCTTGTCTGTCCTCGGCTGTGTGGCTCTACAGGAGTCTGAAAAGGAGTCTCTTGAAAAACAGCCTGTGGTAAGGTGAGTGGGCAAAAGAAAAGGGACAGTTCATGGCACCAACCTCTGCAGACAGAGGAGAGATAGTAAAAAAAAAACTGAAAAAATGTGATAAAAAATATGAAAACATTTCAACGCTACATTAAAGCAAAGCTGCACTGACAGCCACCCTGCAGCAAGGACAAGGAAAATACAGGAAATATCAGACCAGACGTTACAACATGAGCCACGACAACAATCCTGCAGAAAGAGAGAGAGAGAGAGAGAGAAAGTGATCGAGAGAGGTACGAACCTGCATCAGTCAAAATAATGAGATCCAACTTCCTTCATTACAAAGCTCTGGTCTGTGTGGAAAAGGAAGGTTCTAAACGACCTTCTCTTCTCAGAGCTGTGCATTCCTCTGATAAATCACCGGTCTATGCACATGCCATCACTGGAAGCTGCTCTTTACATGACATCTGGGAGAAATTCTTTCATTTTTCAAATCAAAATTAAGTTTTCCTGACACTAACAATGTTCGGATGAGCAGAGAGATGAATATTTATAACCTCGGGTTTTGGTAAACTTTGACTTGATCATTTCCCACAATAAAAATCAACACCATGCATTAATAACGAGTCCTGCGCAGCCACTGAGAAAAATGTCAGTCACTGATTCACAACTCACATGAAAGGAACCACAATCAGTGTCAGTTACAAAATATTGGATAAACTACTCAACCATCAGTATCTCGGAGGGCAGTATCACTGTTTCAGGGTGCACTCACTATAGGCCCATTGTACCGGACCCAAGCGTTTTTGCCCCCGAAAGTTTCTAAGGCTAGTGTTACAGAAACTGCTTGAAAACGTCCGTGCTGCGGTGCACTTGGAATGTGGTGGGCCAAAGCGTGGAACGCTGGCCCACACATGCACACATGGCTGATAAAGTACGAAAGCTGTCTCCGAAAAATCTCCGAAAAATCTGCGAATCCTCACCTCACCTCGACTCAGCTCTTGATCATGCTGCTTTAACTGCGTATAAACAGTAGTCACTGACACGGTGTCGGAGGTAACCGAGCTTCAGCTCACTAGCCTTTGGGGTAATGTGAGTGCAGACCAAAGCGGGGGACAGAGGAGGAGGGTCAGTCGATCTTCATTAACTCCACACCTTTCTGTTGTGTCGTACCAGCCTAAACCCACACACTTAACAAATATGCTCAACCTAAACCAGAAATACCCAGAAAAAATGTCTTTCTTTGTTCACAGCAGTTTCCACAGATCCTGCCCAGCCAGAAACTAAATCCTGCCGCTAGTCTTCTTGGAGCGTGCCGGGCTTGAGGCGACTTTAAAGGCAAACTTCAGTGACTAATTCAAGTCATGAAACGCCTGGCCGCACCAGGGAAGTAGATCATCGCCCAGGATTACACCAGAAAATAAAAAAGGCAGAACAATAAACGAGTGCCCGATGGAGGAGCTGTGATGATCAGTGATCAGCTGGACTCTCCTGAACTAACCAGGGACAACCGTGCCAAAGGAAGGAAGGAAACAGCCCCCACTTGTTACCTCCTCATCTTTGTCTCAAGCTGAAGGGAGGAGAACAAAGCTGAATTTCTCCTTTTTCTGAATTTCTATGACCAGGTTAAATGACAACAACAATCAGAGGAAAACAACTGTTACCCTCAGAATGGGGTAACTGCTCTGAGCCATGTAGCTCAACAGCCAAACACAAGAACACCGTCGACACATTCTGCTACCGTAGTAACTGGACTGTAGCCCAAAGACGCACCGAGCCCCTAAAGACACGGAGGTGTTCTCCCTGTATCTCTGCCCAGAACATCAGGCAGAGGCTGCTCACCTGGAACCAGAGAGACAACCACCACGACACAGGTCATTTTTTAAAATGTATTATGGAATATTTAGCTTTTCTTATGAACAATCCTTCCACAGTGTCTCTGTTGCATGGTGACGTATGTCGTGTCGCTCCCACTGGGAGGCTGCATCCAGCAACAGACGAAGTGAGGAGACGGTCAGACAGAGTGGAGGAGGTGACGAGTCAGAGAGGTTGTCAAACTCTGTGGAACACGCCGAAGCCACAGACGGAGAGTGCAGTCGACACAGAACGACGTACACTCAAGTCATTCAACTGAATGCAAATGTGTGGAGACCAAAAAAACCCCACAGTGAGCTCCACATGGAGTCAGTACTATGTTAATGAGCTGTGAGCTGTCATGTTTAGGCGTCTGAAGCCTACAGATTGTACAGACGGTGTTGTTCTTCTGTCTTGTATATAAACCTCCAGAACAACAGCAACAACAGGCGGGAAATAAAGTTAAACAAATCAGTATTCCAGCTGCTTGGTCTTTTCACACCGAGTTATATTTCAAAAACATGTCAAACCAGAGCAGAAAATCATTGCACCCTGACCAAAAGTCTCCAATATTAATACAAATGAATTAATGCATTCGGAACAGTCAAGAAGATCTGACAGATCTGAGAGAAACACGCTGCTAACCTTTGACCTTATTGATCAGTTCAGCTGAACAAAACTTCATTTGCATTAGAAGAATACACAGTTAAATCAAAGTATAAGAAGAGGGGGGGAAAAAACACAAAAAACTTTTTACCAAACCCTTATATGAAGTATATTTATCTGGTCTTGACAAACTGATTTTATAGTGATATAAATTAGCTTATAGCTTTGAAATTAAATCTGTTTTTACAGCGTCCTGACAGGCTGAATTCTAACGATGATAATAATTGCCGCAGCAGCCCCTGTGTTGCGTCACTCCACTGTTTGGCTCTGTGACTTTTCACTGGATCAGTTTGATCACTGAAGCTCAATATTGTGCCTTGCAGGCAGTTGAGCTCTATCTCTCCCACCCTGATGCCTTTACGTTCTGACTCCAGACTTAAGATAAGGTTAACTCAATAAACTCCCCCTCCGCCAAAAAACTTCTCTCTGTGTAAGGTAAGACCTGCCTTTATTGTGTCTGGGATTGCTGTCTTCTCAGTGGGAATGATTGGTTTCAGCTGCTGAAGTTCTGAAGAGAAGGCTTCAGGTTCTTATTTATAAATTTAATAGCTAAGGGTGATTCTGCTCATTTTAATTTCAACAGATCCTGGAAAATATGTCAGTGTCAAACACAAAAAGGAGATTTTGGAGCCTCTACAACAATGTGTGGATGTGTCCCCATTTAAAACACAACAGACTACTCACGAAACACTAACAAACACACAAGCAGCTGCAGTTTAATCTAAACAAAGAGTCAACTCACCATGAGGCGTTCACTGTCATGAATCAAAGGGAAACTTTGGTGAATGTCAATAATCAGTGGGACCAAACATCACCAGCAGCATGGAGGACAAACAACACTCACCACATGGCAAGTGTGGTGCATTCAAGTGACCTCTGTAGAGTTCTGAAGTGTTTAGCAGCACAGGACAAAGCAGCTCACAGTGGATAAAAAAATACTGATATTATGTCATGAATTAATTATTAATTAATTAATTTTGCTTCTAACAATCCCCACAAGGTTTAGCTTAAACAAAACCAAAGCTTTTACTGGATTATTATTATCAATGACATGTCATCTTATCAAGTAATCTGCAGTTGAAACGTGAGTCAAATCACATGAAACTAAGGCTAGCTCAATGCACAGTTAAGTTAGACAGTTAAACCAATACAACTGAAATAAGCTCACATTTGGTTATTTCATTGTAGATTTAATAAAAACTTCCGCCCTTAAAGTTGTGTTTTAACTGAACTATTTGTGTTGTGTATATTTTTCCAGTAGAGAGCAGAAATTGTCATCATCCTGAAATGCTGAAATGTTGTTGTTATTGTTGTTGTTTCCTGGCTTGTTTAAATGGATTAGAAAATGGTGGCAGACTAAACTGTGACCTCTCTGGTGAAATGACCTTGCATACAATGACAAATAACCAATAATCAGATTCACTCACTGTCACCATGACGTGAAATACGTTGGTGTCCTTTTAAATTTTATTGAACTAAAATTAACTTAAATGTGTCTCAGTTTTATCTTTCAAACAATGTCAGTGAGGAGCGGCCTCTCTCCCCCGTGGACATTAACAAGGTGAACACAGGTACAAGGTCATTTAAAATTCATTAATGTTTATGATACATTTTGTGTTTGTATAAGACCTGTGGTAATTGTTTACATTATTAAAATGTTTTAGCTCCAAAATCCTGGGAGAAACAGCTTTATCTTTAGCTCCACTACTGTGTTTTACCAGTGGCACACAGGCACACACAATTTCTATTTGACTTTTGGAAATGTCACAAAAAATAAAATGTGATGTGTGTATTCTCAGTCACCTTGGTGGAAATGCATTAATTGGGTTCCTGAATGTCAACAAACTCCAAACCCCAGAGAAAACTGGAGGGAATAAAAAATAGAGACACTGCCGGTTCAGTATTACCGCAAATTCATACATTAACCTTAAGAAATGAACATACACACACACAGACACACATTATATGTAGAAGACTAAAGCCGCAGAGACAGACAGGCTCTATCGTATGAATATAATCCACTACTAAATGCTGGACTGTTTACTGTTTTCTGATTAGAAAAGGACCGCTCAGTCTCCAGTATTTTGTCAGACACTAACATCACTAACACTGACTAAGTTGTCAACACACAAAGAGAGGCACTTCAGAGTGTTTCTGAAAAAATCTCCCCATGATTACAAAAACATGTTTATTGAACAGCATCTTAAAACAAAAAAACAACTCTCCTGTTGTTCAGCAAAATCCCAGTTTTGCTGCAGACTTGTCACAGTGAAAATAAGAAAAACAGAAGAATAACAAACGGGTTGAAAACATTTAAACAAAAACACATGCAGTTCTGTTTAGAGCACAGATGAATCACCTAATATTTTATTCATATTAAGAAGTAATTGCCCGTAGGAAGTGAATAATATGTAATAGAGCTGTGAATTTGTACCGCGGTTATTCTTGATTGGACCAGATGGTGGCAGAGCATGAGACGGATTTATTTATAAATCCACCATGAATCCATGTTTTAAAATAACAACCGTAGAAACAGCCGAGGCCAGGAGCCAGGGCGGTGATACAGAGGCTTCCTCAGCCGATTTTACACTGGCTGCACTGCTGACAAATTGACCTGCCACCAAAGCTCATTCAGCTTAAACAATAAAATTGTTACAAGGTGAGTTTTTCTCATCCTCCACCAGGGACTGAAGATGTTGTACTGCTGGTCAGTAAAAGCGCTAAAAGATTTTACTATCAACAACGTAGAGAAACACATTCCTGTACTTGTAACTTGTAAAGCCAAGGTCATCCATTCACATCCTGACTGAGGCCGAAGGTCCAGGTTCTCCACTGTATTCTGACACACTGTCAAATGGCTTTTTAAAATGTGAGATTTTTTTTGCCAACTCCACTTCTCGAAATTATCACTTTGTCCTCCATCTCCCAGGAGGTACGTGGCGGTACTGCAATCGCTAATCTGGAGCTAAATGGGACATTTGGCTAACCCCTAGATCAGTCTTGAAAAATAATTTAATTAATTATTTTTATGAATTATAATAATTATTTATTATTTGTTAAGATAACGTCATGTTTTAAGTAACCAACACAGCAATAATTGAGTGGTCTCTAGGGGTAATTTTAGCTATTAGCTATTTGAGCAATTGTTGTGTTTGGCTACCCTTTACCTTTTGCAGAACTCTTCTGTAATTCCACAAAACTTTTCACGTCATTGATAGGAGCATCGAAATTCTGAGCAAATTTCCCAACAATAGTATTTGACCGTGGTGATAGATTTGCTCATCTTCATCTTCGTTCCCTTCTAGAGTGCAGTTTCAGTCTTTTTGTGTCTCTTAAACAGGGCGTAGAGGATCTTCAGTGTGGCAGTGACATTCTGAGAGACAAGATCTGTCACAAACCCCCCCCAAAAAAAACAAAAAAAACACAAAACAAACAACAACAACAAAAGAAAACAGTAAGAGTTCATTCACAAAACAACATCATTTCCCACCCAGCCAGTGAAGGAAGCATTAACATAACATCTTTATCTAAATACTATTTTCATAATGCATCCGTGCATGTCATAGATCAGGAAGACTAAAAACAGAATTAGATGAAAATTTAATCACTCCGTCCGGTGTGAGACCACGGCCTAACCAAATGGCTCTGGGTTGTGCGATGCGCAGACTGAATGAATGTGACATGAAGATCGACTCCAAGACTGGCAAACCTAATTAATGCATGTGGCCCGCTCCCATTTTAGACTCTGCCTGCCGAGATTCCTCATTTCATCACAGTCATTTTGTCAGTAATTAAAAAGACACTATAAAGGAATTAAATTCATCTTTTGCTCCCGGGGTAGATTAATTGTGCTGGTGCCTTTAATAACAGTTATCATGCTGAGGGTTTTAGTTTACAATAACAGACTGTATGGCTGGATGGCAGCAGCGTTGGGTATTTCGGTGGTTGTGACTGACGTCAAGAGAGAATAAAGACACGACGTGTCGATAAAGAATCTGTGCTGAAGTGAAGTGAAGCCCGTTTGTTATTGATTTAGTCTAACTGTACTGTCATTCGTTAACACTCCTATCCCACACTGTGGGGTCTTTGTGGGACTTGACTGTGAACTATCGACATCACAATGTTGTCTTTCTTATTTTGACATTACTGTGGAGGTACGTCTTCGTTCACAGAGACACCACATCATCATTTGATGGACTGTTAGTTGATTAATCATTTCTATTAATCATTGTTACTTGATTAATAAATACATGTTAAATATATTTCTCATTTTGTACAAACACAAAGGGACAACATATCTTCAGCTGAATCTGTCGTGAGGACACTCCAGTTCCGGTGGACACACCGAGTTAAGACTTCTTTCTTTTCTGCAGTGATTTTTATCAAAGACAGGGTTTTTTCTTATTCATATTCAGCGTACAATTCCACCTCGTCACTGAGTTGAGATAATCTCACGTTACCAGAGAAATCCTGCTCCTCATCTGAAGAACAAACAGATTCTGGCGTGTCCCTGTCACTGTGATAAATGCTGCTGATAGAGGACATCATCTGGATTGCTTTAACGCCGCAGCACAACTGCTTTTCAGTTACAATTATTCACCACGGACCTTCTGCTCTTCTTTTCCCAGCCTGTGTGCCTGGGGTTTAAATGTGAGACTTTACGCCGTGTGTTTTCTCTGCTCACCTTGAGGCTTCACACTGGACAGCGTCACGCCGACGTCACACAGGAGGTCCAACGCCAAGGTCACATTGTCGAGCTGTGACGTCAGAGACATAAAGGTGTCAAAGACAGACAGATGGAATCACATTCAATAATTCAACACAAAATTGAAGGGAAGTTTTTTTTCAAGGATATAGTCAACATTAAGCAGTTAAAGTAATGTTAGAACTCCAGTAGTAGTATTTAGGCATTTAGTAACGCAGTAGTTTTATACTGAACACATCATTGTAGCCTTAGTTTGTAGCTCCATTAAGCGTGTGTGGTCTCTTCCACACAACTACAGGTCAAATCCTGTTCCTCCAGTGCTGTAATTGCTATGATAATTATCTTTCTCTGTTAACGTCACATTTTATATCTTGTGTTTTTATTTATTCTTTTTAAGTCTAAGAGAAAAACTGAAAAAAAGAAAAAACATTGTTAAATGCCTGATTCTGATTATAAAGATAAACAGAAGAAAAAACATTGTTAAATGCCTGATTGTGATTATAAAGATAAACAGATCTGTCTGTCAGTCAGAGACAGACAGACAGAGACAGAGTTCTCATGTTGTGGAATGGAACCATGTTACTGTGATCATGTAAAAATGACGAGTGAGGCACTGATATAGTTGAGGTACATTATGTGCATTATGTATAATGGATCAGGGTCACAAACACGTCCTGTGTTGAGTGTCAACGTGTCTCTACACAAAAGTCTTGATCTCGTCTAGTCTGGGACACGAGTCTATACTTTCATTTCCAATCTACTGTATTGGATTCTATGGAGTCCATACCATCTCAGAGTGACTGACAGGAGTCAGAGTGAATTCACTGAGCGGGATGAAGAAACCTTCTAACTGTCCAATCAGCAGCAGCAGGATGACACCATCAGAAAACTAGAGAGAAAACACTGGCTGTGATGTCATTGGATTCATTTTTAGTTTTTTTTGTTTTTATGCTATTCCAACATTTTGGTTTTTACCTGTTTGTCCATGTCGGTCACCTGCAGTCCCAGAGACGACATGTTCTGGTTAACGAAGTGCAGAATGGCCTGAATATTAAAAAAAAGAGAGAGAGAGAAATAAATGGTTGATGTATGGATTCTACATCCAGTCATTCAGAACATTAACTATTACCTCATCCAAACTGTTGTTTAAGCTGATGACAAACCCCCGATCACCCTCCCACCACACAGACTGACAGTGAGATGGAGTAGGGACCCTTCACTCCTTAATATATATTATAAACATTTTGCCATATATACTGTATTTATACATATATACACTTATATACATTTATTCATACATATACATATATCAATATATATACATATATACATATATATGTATATATGTATATATTGGCATCACCATGGATTAGTTTTACATTTTTATCTATATTTTATTTTTCTAGTATTTTTAGATAATATGTGCATGTATTTTTCTTTCATTGATATTTCAAATGCAGTTGTTTTACAAATACTGTTTGTCATTGTATGCACACACAAACACATACATTTTGAACTTGAAGCCATCAAATGTCTCTTCACTAACAAGTCTCAGCGTCTGAATCCACCACTGCCTTCAGAGAGTGTTTGTCAGAGTCCACTGATCTTCACACCATCTATTCCCATACCTGTTGTCGTGTCATGTTAAGTTGTCGGCTCATTTATTTCCTGCCTCGACACCACAGCATCAGCTCTCCCACTGTGACCGAGTAACAGGCACTTTGAAACTTCTGACACTTGAAAAACTACCTCAGCACTCCTCTCTCCTCTCCTCTCTCCTCTCCTCTCTCCTCTCTTCTGTTATACCTTCTTTACTGTGTTGACCTTGTAAGCCTCCAGCTTCAGCAGTTCCTCAATAGGATCTCCCCCTGTAGTGAGCAGTCGGGCAGAAAAGTGGGTTAAATCACCGTTGGCTATTTGGATGACTTTCAAGATATTAACAGCCACTCAACCTCTGGCCACTCAACCAGGGTCTCACTCACGTCCGCTATCACTCAGGGACTCTGAGCTGCTGTTAAGGAGACAAAAATACATACGAGAAAACATGAGTTTGTTTTTTCCCTTCCCTTGTTTACAGCACATCGTTCATGAACAACCACTCACTTGTTTCCTGTCAGCTCTTCTGTCTGTATAACCGATTTGATCCCACTACTGCTAACCTGAAAGTCAAAGTTAAAAATGCATTTTAAATGGTGTCTTCTGAGCAGTTCACTACAAAGTTGAATTGGAAATAACCTTTATTTTTCAGGACTATAAATGCACAGGTTTTCAACAAGGGTTCACGTTTTTTCTGAATTGTGTCTGAGTGAAACATGCAAATGACTCTGCATTAGAACCAGATGTTGTCTGGTGGAGCCTTGCAGCCCAAACACTGGGTAGACCACCAATCAACTCAGTGGCTAATAGAGGAGCCAAGATGGCCGTCATCACCAGCAGGTATTTGCAACTCTCTTCAATATTCTGACCAGACGTTTTATGCTTCTGAATCTCCAGCCTTTCATTTCCCAGTGTTTTCTTGGTTGTTAGGGTAAAACATGTATGTTTTCTTAATTTGTAAATAACACTTTGTGTGGCTGCTTGCATACTTTTACATGCTGTGGAATAGATTAGACTTTGTATAAACTGTCGAATACTGAAAAAGTAAAAGGCAGAAAGGAGAGGTATAAATACCCAGGGCACCAGGTGAGACGCGTGAGACTAACGAACAGGAAACTGGTGAGTGTGGTGACACTGATTCACCCCAGAGAAACAGAGACAGGCAGACACTGACTGGCTGCTGCCCTGTATGTGAAAATAAAGTCAGCAGACGATCCCTCCCTGTATTTTATCACGTTGTGTTTGTGGTTCATAAAATGAAAAATCAATCAACCACTCCAGACTGAATTCATGCTGGAAAAAGTAGCAGAATCGGTATCACTGAAACTCACCTCTACTGTTACAACTTCAACCTTCACATTCGAAGGCAAATTTAGTTCCGGCTGAAAACGTCTCACCATGGCAACCAGCAGATGAACGGTAGCCAGGAGGTCTTTGTTGTGGATGACTGACACACGAATGGCATGAAAAACAAAACAAGCAGATTAAAGGAGCCGCACTGATTTGACAGAATTCACCACCAACCAGCACTTTAGAAGATGAATAAGGATTTCATGTGTCAATATTAAACATCTCAGAGCCTTCAAATCAGCAGTTCTGTCCTCGTCTGAGTCTCTGACAGTTGGTGAAAACCAACATGGCACTCTCCAGCTAACAACTAATCTTGTTTCAGTGGGGGGGAGTGGGGGGGTGGACACAGAACATTTGTACACTTGTTGTTTTGTTGGTGACGGCCAGGCGCTCGCATGACTCACGCTTGACGTTCCATTTGCTCTGGCTGCTGTCCTGCAAGCCCAGACGTTTGTCCAGCTCCTCCAGGACCAACTCCAGCTTGTGCATCTGCGCAGCAGCGGTCAGCGCAATGTCCGCCACAGACAACTGAGCATCGGCTAACTTAACTTAGCAGAAAACAATGACATCGTTATAACCTGTGAACCAAGGGTGGATGCAACCATCCAAACATGCACCAACTCACCCAGCAGATGATGAAGGATCAAGCCGTCGTACATGTCCTCCTCCAGACTCTGCACCACTATGTGCTCTCTTTTCAGAGTGTCATTGATCCAATCAACTAATGCCTAACAAGACAATTCATCACACAGACACACACATCCAACTCTATCTCATTCCTGGTGATAGAAAAACTAAAGTTTTAGCCTCCAATATTTTTTAAAATCAACTACTCATATACAGTTTAAAGCTTGAATATAAAGCAATAATATACTGTGGTCCCACAACATATTAAAAAGGGAATCCGTTTGTGTTTCCTTCCAGATCCTCAGTCTTTTGGGGTTATTTATTCAGTCACAGACCTGGAGGTTCCTTCTTTTCCAATCAAACTGGGTTTTAAAGTCAGATGCAGCAGACTGACTCTTCGCTCTCTCCCTAATCTGTCTCCCATCACTTTCAATAATTATGTTCATTAAACTTTCATTGATTCTTCCACCTCCATCTCTCACTGCACCACATTTTATTCATGCTCTTTACTGCACACATGCATGTGAGTCTCTGTAATGTACTTTCCATGTCAGACTTATTTCGAGACGACTAAAGATAAGATGAATACTGCATAGGATACACACATAAGGATGTTGGGATGTAAGTGACGGGGATTTGTTTCTCACCTGTTTTAGATCTTCAAATTTAGGGTCCTTCAAAGATGCTGGTTGGATGATTTTCCTCTTTTCTCCTGAAGGGAAACAAATGTATCAGTTCTTTTTATCTCGTCATGTGACTGTGATGTGGAGCTGTTTCATGACAGTGATGTGTATCTCACACTAATGTGGCCTGATAGCGTGTTTGGAGGCTGGGTCCATGAAGCCCACTGTAAGGACGTGTTTTTTTGTTTGTTGATTTTCAAATATCTCTGGTTCATATCAGACTTCTGATAACAGTTGGGCTGCATCTCCCATTTGCCAGATTTGCCACAAGCTGGTCACACACCTGCCCCGTGTCAGCCAAAAGGCGACGTAAACCAACATCAGTAATAATCCAATAACAGGTGAAAATGAAGGAGTAGATAAACAGTCAGTGTTACTGTGTGACTGACAGATTATTGTTGTGATGGTGAGAATCCCAAACGTACCCTGGAAGAAATCCAAGTCCACACTCTGCTCCTCTTTGTTGTACTCAAACATACCAGCCTCCATCATGAGAATGGGGTTACAACTGCACCTGTCAACATTAAAGTAGAGCTTCAACACACTGGGAAAAATACTACCACATAAAGTTTCTACCTTTCTCCTGACACATGTTACTGTGGTATTTTTGGCCCACACTGCTCAGTCTTCTACTGCTCTGGTGCAGACTGGCCGACAGTCTATATTATAATAAAAGACAAGAAGAACCTGTCCATGGAACCACAGCTGAACGCTGTTTTAAAGCTAGTTGAAACATGACAAATGGAAGAAGACGTTTGGTTTCTTCACTTCCTTTCCTCTTCAGGTCAAGAGTGCACGGCAGACAGTGAACAGTACTGTTATTGTCCCCAGCTGTTTTTTCTTAACATTTAGAATTGTGTGTTCTCTGAAAGGAACACAGAAAACACACACTAACACGCTCTGACAGAGAATTAAAAAAAAAAAAACACGAGGCTGGAACATGTCAAACTCGTGTTGTCTGTTTCTGAGGGTGAGAAAAGCCAAGTTTTCTTTTACTGTCTGTTGTCTGTGTGTGCTTGACTTCCTTTCCTTGGAGCTGACTGTAACTTTCAAACAGGGTCATAAAAAAGTTTAAAAAAAAAAAATAAACCTACCTTTGGTGCTCTGAGAGTTACTTGACAGAATTAGGCGACTTATGATGATGTGAGGTCCTTAAAACTGTAGTCAAATGCTACCAGTGTCAAAACAGAAACATGAGAGGGCGGAGGCTGCGCTGAACTGAAAAGACGCTGTTTTAGGACAATTTTCCACTCAGTTTGAAGCTGCTGTTAAAATGAAAACGTATCACTAAGTCAGAAAAGGGAAGACAAGTGGCGAATAGAGAGGACGTTGCAGCACTTCCTCTTCCTGGTACTGGCCGTGTAGCTACGTTGTCTGATAACTGTGTTTATGTTGTGTGGACGAGGACTTTGATGAGTGGAAGTCCGTGGAAGAGAACACGGAGGACTCTCGGGTGAAAGTGTGTTTTGTTTGGGAAATCACACTGGAGTCAGTGCAGATAAAGAACGTGACACTCAGAGGTCTCAGCCACTCAGTCTCCACTCACACGTCTCCATCTGTGACCGCCGGCCAGATCAATTTGCTGCCGTCTTCCCTCCTGGCCTTCTCTTTTCTCTAACAACAACAACAGCAACAAAGAGGAAGAAGCAGAGAAACACTTATAGAAAACCAAGCCACACGCTCACTCTGTGTTTACTGGCCTTGTTCAAGAAAAGAAAGAACAAAAAAGGGGCCGACCATCTGCTGTATGAAGGGGCAATTTAAGGGGATGAGGAAGGTTACCATAGCAACAAACTAAAGAGACAAGAGGAAAGGCCCAGAGTAAGCCCATAATTCTTTTAGCTAAACCCAAATTGTAGGAATAGCTCGATTCGGAGCCAATCTTCCTCAGGAGCCAGAGCTAATCTAACCTAGCACACGAGTCAGAGATAAAATGAAAATCTCATTTTGTTTGATTCCAGGCATTAATGACTTGATTGGATGGATAAGAAAATGCACAGTGGTGATTTTGTCTACTCTTATAAATGAAGTCCAGCTCCAAAATGCAATGTAGATGAGCTGGTCTCCAGATAGCACCGTGGGTTCAGGTCCCCTGAGGGACTTCAGCGGGTCAGGAGGAAATACTCTCCTGGAGCTGGAGCAAGTCTCCTGGGACAGCGATAACACACTGGCCAACAGGGCAAATACCACAGCAGTGGGGTTTTTTTTATAATATTGATTTTTTATATATATACAATAATTGTCTAAAAGGTGAGGAACTCTGTTCAAGTCAAAAAGTTTGCCCACGCCTGGTCTAGGACATGAGAATGTCAGAAGAGTCTGACTTGTCCTTAGGAGCCATAATGGAGGATAAACACTATGACATTCAGCCTGTGAATGTAATCTAAACCATCCTCTGGATGTAGCACCACATGTATTCTTCCACACTACTTGACAACTAGTTCCTGTGCAAAACTTGTTAAATTTTGTAACAACGTTCCTCTGAATAAGGGAACAAGACTTTCTAAGTAGAATTATGGGAGACGTTACTGTGAAACGCCATAGGTTGAGGACACAGTAAACTGAGGAAATCCATGTTTTGTTTTTTCATATCATAAAATACTATTGAGAACAATACTTCTGAAATCAATTTTACTATTTGCAGGAAAGACTGAAGAAACTGTTAAAACCAGCTGTGGCTGGAGACAAGAAAGTTGAAAGTATAAAAACTTATTTTTCACTCACTCAGTTGCTGTGTTCCTCTCACAGGCCCTTCATCTCCCTCAGGCTCAGTCGACTCCATCTCTCATTAGTCTCTTTTGTCTGTTCAGTTCCACTATGCTGTCCCTTTATTCCACCCTCTGCAGTAGTCTATATTAAAGAACAAACTTAGAATGGAAACATTATCATTCTGGTCACACAGATAAACCAGTGTCTTCAAACCATCAGCAGAGTCAGTCCTGCTCTGCTGCAACTCTAATTCCAGAGCCTGGGTTTGATTCTTAGAGATCCCATTTCTTAGAGATCCATCGTTCCAGCACCTCTGTTCAGTCCAGGGTTGACAAGTAGTAGCATCGTGATGTTTGTTGTTATTTCTTACTTATCTAAATGATGAGTAATAAATAACCATGACAAGAAAAGTAGTTCTGTAGTAATGTGTAGTGGAACACAGATACATTCTTTTTGCCATTTTTAGTGAGACCTGCTATGATGTTCGGTTTATAGACAGTGTCTCTGTCTAATAGACCAAAGGCTGAGCTAGAGGTGGCAGTGATGAAGATGATGAGATCTTCACTGGTAGTGACCAGGACAGGCAGGACTGGAAATGAACAGATCAGAGGGACAGTTAAGGTGGAGCAGTTTGGAGATGAAGTTGGAGAGATGAGATGTAAAAGGTGTAAAAGCAGAGGAGGCAGAGGATGAGCTGGGGCGACCCCTGAAGGGAACAGCCAAAAGAAGTGCCTTTTTTTTTCTTTTTTTTTTTCAAAACATCAAGAAGTGCCTTTTTTTTTCTTTTTTTTCAAAACATTCTTTAATATCCATACAAAGTATTTCAGTTATTTTAACATAAATCTTCTTCCAGGTGTCGTCGTACAGTTTGGAGGATAAGACACTATAAGGTTGAGACGGTGTTTTCCAGTTCATAATATTTTCTCCTTCATTCATTTGAAACAGTTTTCATGTAGAAAGTGCAGGGATGCAGCGCCTCCAGTGTCCAGACGGTAAAGAACAGATGCACAGGTCGGTATTTATATTAGTTCTCATCTGCAAGAGTTCACTCAGAGTTTTTGTAGTTGGTGAACAGGTTGTAGAGAACCCGCAGGGTGGACTTGAGGTTCAGGTTGACAACATCTGTAAAACAGAGTGAGACAAAGCAGGGATTATTCAGGGTTTGCCAAACCTGAACAGCTCTGCGACGCTTCCTTTCTCCTGACATGTACAATAATTGGTTCCATGGAAAAGTGGGACACAAAAGAAAAATCACATTTACAACACAAAGCTGCCTCCTCTGTTATTACTGCTGGGCTACTCTCCATCAAAACGCTATTTGTAATTTCCAGCTCGGAATAGCAGCCGGGAGTTTGCAAATGATCATCATGTGATGTATCACGACTTGGCAGAGGAGATTCAAAGGCAGTCAAGGGCACTTTGTTCTGTCTCAGCACCACCCTGTTTTACATAAGTACCTTTTGCTTATTGTAACGTCTCGTGACACTTGGGTCTATTTTAGGACGGACGCCGTTTGTTACAGCTGTTCCACTGCATCAACACTGAAACCAGCACGCTTTCATCTCCTCATTACCTCTGTTCCATGTTAGATGGTGGCGTCAGAGCGGCTGTTTTATAAATGATTATTAAAGCACCTGCAGATGTCTACAAACGTGATGCTAAATTACAATTGAAATATTTATTTTTTCAGCTGCTGCATACCACACACGGTTTATATATATATAAATTACATATTTATTTTAATATTTAATATTTAGTTAAATATTGCTGTTATGTTTTACTTTATCTCTGTAAAAAAAGAAAAAAGAAAAGAAAAAGGTTTACTCAGTAAGTGGATCAAAACGATTTAAACCCAGCCTCCTGCAGTTAGAGTATAATCACAAGGTGAGGTTTCCACCTACTGGACAACCTCTATAAGTGACATATGTGGCGTAAACATTTGGCCTGGCAGCACAAGACACTGCTAATACGCTTTTTACACCGAGAGAAAGTAGATTTTACGCTTTTCCACCAGACTTTGTCTTAGTAAGAATTCCTGTGAGTCGATAAATGATTACCTTCTGGTCTGGCTTTGGGTTTTTTCAAACCTCCATCCTGCATCAGCTCAAAGGCAAACGCTACATTATGAACCTGAGGGGACACAATCGAGTTGTTATTCATGTTTTTCACCTCAGAAAAAAAAAATTCATTTTCAAAAACTGTAATATATTTTAACAGTGATAATAATACCTTTTGCTCAAAGCTCTCAGGAGTGAGGAAGAAGTTGTACAGAGGCACGAAGTAGTTCTCCAGCAAACCCATCAGTAATATGAGGTACACTCCATCAGCAAACTTGACCAACAGGCACACAGAGGCACAGATTAAAACACATCAACAACAACATACATCTAAAAAACGTTGATGGTTCAACTGATCAGGAAAACTGTCTGCACCTGTGACTCCAGCTCAGTGACTTCCAGGTTCAGTTTGTTCAGGTGTTTGTTCACAAATGTGATGAGCGACTGGTGTCACAAAAAACAAAATATTTAACACGTAATTTATATTTCACATTAACAAAATAATGATAATAATAATAATTCATGCAAAATACAATGTGTTTTTGTACCGTTTTTACAACATTGAGTTTGTCCGGTGCATGATCCAACAGGGTGTCGAACGCATCCCTCTCTGGTAAGGACAGCGAGAATTAGAAGGGAATAAAAATAGCACGACGTTATGAACTGTTGATAAGGTAAAGAGATTGAGGCTACGACCTGGAATAAATTTGTATTCCACATTTACATAGCATTAAAAAAAATCTCTCTCTCTCATATGACATTATGACATGACGAGAAGCAACGCAGGTTTGTACAAAAGCAGAGACTCACCAAATCTCCCCAACATCATCCTGAAAAATACAGGAGGAAAATTAAAAAGTTAAACTGTAAGTGTTTGTTTTTGTTCATCTTGAATCCTCAGGAGGACTTCACAGTAAACGTAGGTTTCTCTGAGTGTCCATAATCATGTTTACAAGTGTTTTTTGCTCTTACTCTGTGGTGCTGGTCAGCTCTTTGGTCACTAAGGCCGTCTGCAGGATTCCCTCTCGTTTCTGCTCAAATCCAAAGGAAACATGAAAAATGTAGTGACGTGAATCCAAACTACTACAGCATACTATCGCATAGAGTGAGTGCTGATGTCTTACCTTCACCACCACCACCTGCACTGACACGTGCTCAGGGAGTCTGATTGGAGCCTGGAAGTGCATGGCCAGCGCCACCAACAGGTAGACAATAGCCACCAGGTTCTTTGAGTGGATAGCTGTAAAGGGCAAAATCACCGAGGTCAAGGGTCAGCATTCTCACCAGGTGTGATTACTAATGTAAAACCAAACAGACTTTTATCACAAATGAATTGGCTGTTTTTGCAGCTGACTGAAATGAAGAGTAAACTCACAGTCCACGCTCCATTCGATGCTCCAACCATGAGGCCGCAGAGTTTCATTAACGGCCTCTAAGACCGTCTGAAGCTTCTGCTTCTGGCCGATCTCTGACTGGGTCACTTCGGCCACGTTCAGCTTCCTGCCTGACAACTTTTCTGCCACCATGAAAAAAAACAACAGCTTCCTGCCTGACAACTTTTCTGCCGCCATGAAAAAAAACAAAACAATGTCAGCCTTTTGAAACTAAACACAAATCCAGAGACAGAAGTAAACACCCTCCTGCCACAGTGATGAATTTCATTAAACTACACAACATAGATGTTCTTTTGAAAAGAACCACTTTGGATTTGTTGCCTCAGATCAAAAGAAAATGAACAAAAACACTCATTTACATTGGAAGAAAAAAACCTTCAAGTTTCACAATGCTCCTCAGAGACGTGGAGATCTCAATATAAAATAAAACATACTGTAAAATGAAATGGCTGCAGACAAGAAAGACGAAACAATCTCCTGCTCTAGAAGACGAATAGAGAATCTTTATGAGGTATATTTTTATGCGCCGTTTGAAATATTTGAAAGAAGCAGCAGAGACAGAGCAGCTCTGATCAAAAAGGAAAAATGAAGCTTAGACACAACTGACTGACATTAAAAAAACAGCTTTAACAGTGAATCATCTCAGATCACACATCTTTTATCTGACAAGTGACGTTTAAATCACTCCTTAAACTGTTACATATGAATCCTAACAAGACCAGAGGAAATTAGAATCAATGACAGTCAAAGATTCAGTGAAATAGAAATAAAATAAATATTATAACAGAGTGTTGTTATCTGGATAAACAATATGTTGTGAAATCATATAATGTGGTGATGTGTTGTATCTGTAGTTTACTGATGTTGTCAAATCCCAAATGTGTTAAATCCCAAAGGGGTTTTCGCGCATTAAAAGCACTGGTGTTTGTGATGCGGCTGTTGACGACTTACGGCTTGTTGTAACCACGGAGATACACAAGGGGGAAGCACTTCACAAATAAAGAGAGCCATTTAGCAGCTAAGACTGGACAACTGCAGAAGTACAGTATGTATTCAAGAGAAATCTGTGTGTGACCTGGGTTTATAACAGGTTATTATAAACCTATTATAACAGTGAGAACACCGTTTTATTTCAGCTCACTAACACGTCTTCCAGGGCTAATAGAAATAATGCAAAATAAATGCCTCAAAGTCGTAATTTATTACCGGAACATTCAACCATGTTCACATTTGCAACAATGTTTAATAACAAAACAAAAACAGGCCTAATTATGTATGTATTTGACATTATTACAAAATCACAGAGACAGTGTCTAAGTTCATATAATGTTTCTCACCAAACAACTTCTGCAGCACTTGTCCATCATAACAGTCTTCTTCCAGGTCCTTGACGATGATCCTGTCTTCTTCCAGCTCACTGTTGATCCAGTCGATCAGGACCTGGAAACACGTTCAATCATATGGGAAACTTGAAGCACATACATTTTAAAGCTGTGGTTTGAAACTGAAATGTTTGTATAAAATGAAATCGTAAGTCCTGACTACCTTCAACAGGTCTTTGAATTTCAGATTTTCCCGGGATGTTGGGTCCAACATGATCCTCTCTGCATTTTCCTCTAAATACAAAGAATGTGGAGAAGTCTTAGATTCTTAAACAGGTTTTTATACGGTCACACCTTATGATACTTTATATAAACACACAAACATATACATACACACATATATGTATATATACATTTATACATATATACATATATATAATGTTATAAGACAGTGATGACAATGAACCATGTCAACATCATAACAAACTGTAACAACACTGTAAAGTGAGAATAGAGAATTGTCCACCACACCCACTTTCATTTCCTGCTCCCTCATGTCAGTCCTACACACCCTACACATCTCGTTCCTTACTGTGACCTCGGGCAACTCTAACAGTAAACCGTTACACAACACAAAACATACTGCACGTAAAAACACAGACTGTGACATGAGTAGGATGGCAAGACTCAAAAAGTCAATGAACATGTCATTTACACACGCTGTGAAGAGTTTTCCTTTCACTGAAGCATGAAGCACCTGGAGTTTGAATTGTTGTATTGTAGGAGCTTCACCTTTCACACTACTCATTTTGTGATTAATCCAAAACTATTCCGTGAATAATCTCATACATACCCAACAGTGTGTCCTCCGGATGGATGTCCATTCCGGTGGGAAGCATGGGAGCGTTGATGGCATTCTTCCCCTCCTCATGAAGATCGCTCACTGGACAGACAGAAACAGACCAGGTGAAAACAGAGATTAGCATTAGCATAGAGTTTCTGCCAGTATACTGTACGAGACCATTGGACGGACTAGAGTTCCTCTGCATTACACCTTCTGGCTGCAGGACAGTGACGGTGTGAGACCCTCTGTTTTTACAGCCACTATTTACAGTCTAGTCAAAGCCACAGCTGTATTTGGTTTCAGTCAAACTGAAACATGAAAACTTTCACAGGACTCATAGACCAGACGACATCCTAAACATAGACTTGAAAATAACACTAATATAATGCTAATGGTAATGCTAATCATAACATCTTCAATTACCCATAAACATCAACATCTAAACTTCAGTTACTCTCATTTAAATGACTGAGTTAAAATATTAAGTTAAAAATGACTTTACTTGTTTTTGTGACCTGGTTTAAATGCTGACAGAAAGTTGAATTATTTACAAAAGGTATGTTAACATTTCCAAATTGTGGCACAAAAAAAAAAAAAAGAGCTTTGCTGTGCTGCCTGGCTGTGGTTCTGTACCCGTTAGGGGGCCTGCTCCCCGATTTGGGAACCACTGCCATAAAGTGTCCATCAATCCATACTCCAACATTGGCTCTTATTAATACATTCTATTCTCCTTACAGACCTTTTTATGCAGAGTTTTCTTAGCCTGTTGTCTGTTTTATAATCTTTCTCCTGCTTCGCCTCCTTTCAAAGCAACAGTGAACTGTGTGAGAAGATCACTGCTGGATGTTCTTATCACACTATATGTTGGTTCTGAGTTTGTGCCAGAGGCGTCACACGTCTGCCACTTCCTCAGTTTTCCTGCAGCCAAGTCAGACTCTTCCTACTCCCACACAAACTAGATTACGGAGACAGAGCCGTCCATACGTCTGAGCGAACACGCATCAAGTAAATTAGTCACGGAGCCTTTGAATACTGTGCTCACCATCAAGATAATAACAATACATTCAACTTCAGTTAAAAATATCGTTTTGAACGATGAAGGATAGGTTAAAAACAAAACAAAAAACAAAAAAAACGATTGGCACCGACAAACAGCAGGTCTATTTTTGAACAAAGTCAATTATTGCTAAGATGCTTTTACTTCAGATGTGAGCGATGCTCTAGGGATTTAAAAGCCTTCTTCCTCTAATGGCAACAGGGCTTTTATCATCCTCCATTTCAATTTGTAAGACCTGCACCTGCAATCAATCGTCTTATACTGTATCTGTCATTTCATTGACCCTGCTGCAGGGTCGGGGTGAGGATCCAAAAGGATAACAAAAACTAGACACTGTCTGTCATTTTTGAAGATCTGACAAAATATTTTAACTGTAAAAAAAAAAAAAAATGGTTTGCTTATACTTTTGATACTTTCAGACAAAAACCACAAAAGAGGTCCCCAAAGATTTCACTCAGGCTCTCTTTCACTCTTCTTCTATCAGCTAAACGCCGGCTGGCGCTCCAGATCTCACGACACATCAGCAGTTTGCTCTGTAATTACTGAGCCGGACCTCCATTTTATCTTAATGGCACAGTTTCCTCTCCCCTCTTTTATCATCTGACTCTGCTGTTTTGTACTGCACACAGGACAGTTTTCAATTTGGTGTTTTGTACAAAAAAAGTGGGCGTCCCATTTGCATCAATAAGACTTTCCCACTAACATGACACACAAAAAAACAAATCATCATCATCAAATGTCTGTAGAGCAAAGAAAAAAACATCCCATATTTATCATTATCCTGCAAACAAATAAAATCAATAAAAATATATTTTAAATGAGTGATAAAACATAGTTTTACTGTTTAATAATAAAACATGGATTTCATTTATTCAACAGTCTCCTGTCTGTTTTTGGCCCTTTTTTTTTTTAATTCTCTGAACTTTCTGAAGCCGACCATGTTTGGTGGCACTCTCTGCCTCAGCTCCAGGATCTGGAGTCTAGACAGTGGCGTACTGAGTAGATTTAACTGAGCCAAAACATGATGCAAAATGCAAAAGGATCCACATGATGAAAATAATTCCTCACATAATGTCACATGACAACAACGGCCAAAAGACGACCACAGACAGACAAAGGTAAGTTATTAAAAAGCAAATCTAATCCCATGACAAGAGGTGCATGTCAACCCACCGTGCACTAAGGGAACAAAAAAAAGCTCCTGCTTCCTGATTCCCACCACTGAGTTCCTCAAAATGGAACATGAAAAAGAACACGTTACCTGGTTTCTTCCTCTTGGTCCCACACAGCAGCCCTGCCATGACTCTACCATAAACCTGTGGATTCCTCTGATGGCAGCGAGCGCAAAATAACAGACTGAGTGTTTGATTAGTTTGTTTGTGTGTGCGTGAGTCTGTGTGTGTGTGTCAAAATCTGAGTGTGTAGGAATCAGGGTGGATTTGAGCTGAACAGTAGTAGGGGGCGTCATCACGTGTTTATTTCTGTCACAACCCTCCACCCCACCTCTGCGGTCCAGTTACTGGAGACGGTGGGAGGATTCTGTGTGTGTGTGTGTGTGTTTATCACAGGAAGATGATCATGCAGACTACAGGTCATCAGGACACAATAAATTAGACTTGACTAATGAGGTGTTGAGTCTCTATTCATTTACTCACGTATATTAAGTATTTATTTTAATTGTGGGGTGTGTTTTCTTATATATTTTTTTAAAGTGTCTTTCAAAATTAGCTGCAATCTCGTTAATTCCCTGCAATAAAAGGGAACAGATTTCCTGTAGCCCGTGAATGGAGGCTTTAGGGAGATTTGCTGCAGCAGCAGTAATCAGTCATCCCCCGGCTGCTGCACTGCTCAGAGAAAAACATTAATTACACAAACCAAAGCCTGCACTGAGGAACAGTTAGGCTCCATACCTGCCCACGCTCCATGTCAAAACACAACTTTGAAATAACATGAAGATTTACTAGAGTGGATAATTGCAACATACATAAAAAAAACTTTTTTTTTTCATTTTCTTAAAAAAATGCTCTGAGTATAATCACAGCACATCATAAACAAGGGAGTAAAATGGATTGAAATCGACCTCGTCTTGTTTGGCTCCACTGTTCCCGCAGGGGGAGGTGGTACGGAGAGACAGGAGCGTTGGATATAAATACTGTGGCAGTATGGAGGAGACAGACTGGACCTTAAATATAGCTGCAGTTATTTACACCGACACAGGCAGTGGTGAGTAAGAGCCACCAGGAGATGACGGTGTCTCCTGGTCTGCTGCACAGGAAGTCTGCTGCAGATATTGACCATTTTAGATGTGTCAACGAATATTTAGAATAATTAAAATAAATTATTTTTTTTAACCTTTGTAATAGGAAAGTGAAAGTGAACTACTTGTCATTGTGACACAGCACACAATCAACTGTGACCTCTGCTTTTAACCCATCACCAAAGTGATTTAAGCGCCCAGGGAGCAGTGTGTGGGGACAGTGCCATGCTCAGAGCTGGTGGACTCGAACCTGAAACCTTCCGCATCCAAGTCCACTTCCTTAAACACTAAGCTACCACTTCACCTTTAATAATATTATTTTACTTATTTTTCTTCTCTGATAAGCAACATCTAGTTCTGAAAAAATTAAAACAAATATATATGCAAAACTTGTTTTAACAAACTCAGCTGCTACTGCTGCAGAGAAAGACACGTCGTTCCAACGTTGCCTGACATGTCCCACTTCTCCCAGGTATTTGTAGACAAAAAACAGTTAATTACAAGCAAAGCTTCTTGGAGATATTTTCAGACATCCTCAAAATATCATTACCAGCGTTGCGCACCATGAACCAGTTCAGTACCAGGAACCACAGTGTGAGCAGCAGAATGATCATTATCTTGAATCAAACAGTCAAAATCCTCTCTAGAAAATAATTAGAAAATGTTCTATACGAAATTGCAAAACAATCATTTTGCTTTCTGCCGAAGAAGAATTTCTGTGCAAAAAATATGATTATTTAATTTTTACCAACACCATTTAAAAATATGTTTTGTATATTATTTATACAGTTGCAAGCTCAAAGTGCTTTTGTACTCTTAGTTGTGCAATGTAACAGCATGGTATCACACCACATCTTCACTAGATAGATTAATTAATTAATGAGATTATCTTCACTAGATAGATTAATTAATTAATGTGATTATCTTTAATTTAACTTTAATTTAACAAAAATATGTCGTACTCGACTGAAGTTAAATGCACTATAATAAAGCATAGACATTATATTATATATAGACATTACATTCATAAAGGATGATTTTCCATAATGGCTGAAAATTAGCACAAATATGTCGATAGGTTTATAAAAAACTAAAAGACAAACTTCCATAAATAAACCAGAGAAGAACAACTTACTATCGTTGACTTCCATCCTTGAGAACTTTTACTCTTTTATATTTATATTCTGGACTGCGAGTGCTCAGATAATTACAGTAGAATATGCGTCAGTGACTCTTCCTTCGTCCTTTCATAGCTGGAGCTCATTTTATTTCCACTGAAGTTTTATTTCGACAGCCCTGCTGGTGACCGGCTCAGAGGTTGTCTTGTCAGTGAAACACACACTTCCTTCTGCTTTATCAGGGAATTTAGAGCAGCATCTGTACAATAACAGTGTCTTTTACAACAAGCTATTTTTGAAGAAAAAAAAAAGTTAGTTAGTTTGCTGTTTCTTGCCGTTTCCTCAGCAATTTGAAAGCACTTTTTCACCAGCTGTTGGGTGTTACCCTTCAGCAAAGGGCCACACCCAGTGAGTGAGGTTCCACATGGTTATATTCATCACCAGCTCTGACTTCCAGCGACACGTCAAATTGACCACGTAACCTTTTTAAATTCAGCATTCATTAGACCGTCTCTGGTCTGGAGTAAATTAAGATAACATGGAATATTACAATATTTTTAAAATCCTTAGCACCTGAATTACTAAAATTTTAAACATAATATTTACATGATTATGTAAATTTGATGTAGGCTCAACCTGTAGCTCATCATACAACTTCTTGATACGAGACAAAAAATACCTCGTTTTATAATATAAAGCAAACATTTGTCACTACTGCTTCAAATAACCAACATGGTCAACAAACTCAAATTAATATTTACTGTATTTGATTTACAAGTGTATTAAACAGAAAGCAACCAAATTAACACAATGGTACATCTAAATAATAAAAGATATACTTTAATGTGTACTTAGAAAACTTAGTAATAAACACTGCCTTAAAGAACATTAAATACCACAAAACAATTTCATCACTAGAGGCTGCTAAATCTTACAGAAAGCACCAAACAGTGTCTCTTGGACCCAGAAAACTATCACTAACAACACAGCTTAAATTGCATTGTAATAATTAATTACAATTTGCACTTTAAAATTAGAGACAAGAGACAAGAGCTGGAGGATTTTAGGGTGACACATGTCTGAGAACACACACAAACAGATGGGCGTTAAAGGTTGCAGCTGTCCCTTTACCAGACATTCACGGGCATGTGAAATATACTGGTCAACAAAGAGAGTTTCTATTTAATTTGGGAAAAATAGTGTTGTACCTTTTTATAAAAAAAAAAGAAAGAAAAAAAAGTCAGCAAGTCTAAATCCTTTTCACACCTTTTATCTTCGACATAACTCGAATACCAGCTGAGGTCCAGTGTACTGTGTGGTCTATTTATGTTTATTACCTCATGTTAGAAACCACTGAGACCGCAGAGGCGGAGGCTTTGTCTGGACTGTTGCTGTATTAATAAAACACCAGGCACTTGTTTGTGATTGTGGTTGAATTCTTTGGTCAACAAAGTCTAGATATCTAGAGAGAGTATGCTCACAGAGTTAATGTTAGGTCACATTATGATTTGGAATAAATAAAACAACAAATGCATTGTTGGTGGAAAATGTTTAGTGGCCACGACCACCAGAGACGCTGTAACAGACCATTATATACATACAGTATGCATGCAGCACCATGGACAGAAACCCAAACACACACAATGTGGCTTTTTCTAACACAGCACCGAGAGGAGAACCCAAGAACATCTCCTCCATCCTCACTAACCTTCTTTGGATTTCTTTCTTCTTGCCAGAGTGCCTCCTAATTTCCCGAGGAAAGAAGATTCTTCTTTTTTCATTTTCGCGGACTGCGTGTTGGCAGCAGTGGTCGCCGTCCCAGACATCTTTCAGCTGGACTCCGACTGTGTGTGTTTGTAATGTCTCTCCTCTCTCCCTCTACTCCTGCGCCTCCTCTTCACCGTCCACAGACACAAACCCAGGCTAGGATCTCTGTGTGAAATCCGGGAGCTGCTCTTCAGTGTGTGTTAATCAACACAACAGCAATGACTCACTCACATGTGTTCAGTACGAGCTTCAGCTAATCTACTTTTGTTTGCTCACGGCGCACACCACAGCGCCCTCCTGTGTTGGGAAGATAGACTGCCTAAACCAATCACCACTGAAAAGGCCTAAGAAACCTTATTGTTTTATTCCAGTATGTTGTCAACATTTTCTGAAGATAACCTTTTCTTCATCTGCTTGGTGAGTAACACTTCTCTATCCTGAAGGTGTTTGCACAGTTAGCTCATGCTAGTCTATCCTTGTTGAAGACTTGACCACACAACAACCTTTTTCCATTAAGTTTTATTAAAATTGAAGGCAATGGTCTCAGTTTTCAACATTGTTAAAAAGATAAAGTAAGAAAAGTATGAAATGTATGAGTCCAGTCATTACAGCATGGGTTGATATAAAAAAAAAAACTAGTCCACTAAGATAAATGTGTTTTGTCAATAACTATACAAATAGATTTTACTTGACAACTGTATTTACCACAAGATGTGTCCTTTTTTTTAAATTAATACCAAGAAAAAGGAACCTCTAGTTCAGCTTTTATCCACGTCACCTCTGCTCAGCTCTTGGGCTGTGTGTATATAACAGAAGAGTCCATCTGTAGGTTGTGTTAGTGTTACTGATTACTTGACATTACCAGTGGTCAGCAGAAAATTCCAGTCTGCCTTCAACCTGAGTCTTAGCTTCTCTGTGGACTCCACATTCTCTGGTAGAGGAGCCTCCAGAGGGCCTAACGGGGGGGCGGGGTCTCCAAGTAGAGAAGACGCAGTAGGGCCAACATAGGCATTTTGATCCTCCTTAAAGAGATGCAACAAAATGATGTAATGCCCATTGTAAAGTTATGAAGGGTTGAAGTAAATTTGGGTTAAACATTTTATTCACCTGCATTAGGACTAATGTGTGTCCCTGAGCAAGGCCTCGCAGTAGACCTATTAGTTGCTGCCAGACGTTGTGACTCAGCCCACAACCTGACGTCTGCACCACAACCACAAGACTGGGGTCGTACTCATATCCCAGAGGCAGCAGGAGGCTCAGCGTGGCCTGAATAAACCCTGGAATGTCGCTGTAGTCCTTCAAAGAATTTTAATTTTTTAAATCAATAAAAGAACTGTGCAGGACTATAATTTAAAATAACAAATACACACCTTCTGCAGACACACAGGTATCAAATACTTGCTTTGAATTTCTTCTGACTTCTGGGTAGTAAACTGCACCACCAGAGTTTTTCTGTAAACAAAATCATCTTTGTTTTTTTTTTCAATTTGTTTGAGCTATTGCAAATTTTTCAAAGGCTAAGAAAGTTCATATTATAAGAAATAATTACCCATCTTCATTGGTGTGAAATGGAACCACACCATCTCCAACGTACACAACCAAAACCCTGTAGTGAGAGAAGTATTAACAGAATGATTAACAAATAACAGTATATTAAAAAGTATTAGTTAAATATTTAACAACTTATTTTTTCCAAAACGTTTGATAAGGTCAAAGCATTCATATGCATGGACCATATTTTTCATGTGAAGCCCAAAATATAGTAATACTTACTAAAATGCACTTTTTGGAACACAGTGAAGTATGTGTAAATGTAATACCTGTTCATTGGTGCAGCTGCAGCATGTTGGACAACACATATTACTGCTTTAGAGATATCTTTCACCAGTGCTAAGCCACTGCCGATCTAAAACAAAAAGAAGAAAAAGTGATTAAAAACACCGTCCACTGCTGTAGATCACAGGCATGCTGCAAAAAACAAAAAGAAATTTAAAAAATCTAACAACAGAAGTATTTCCCCGACTTTACCTCATTCTTTTCCATTTTGTCTATAAGCACAGTAAGCCTGGATAGTGTTGAAAGAGTTTCACAATCCTCTGTATCTTTAAGGATATGCTCCCTGGTTTAGGAAAAATAAACTTGTCAAACAATATATCAATATAAGTATCAAAAATACTGACAAGCTTAAACACAATTCTGTTCACTTAAGTTTGTTGACTATCGATGGGTCCAGATCTTCTGATGACTTCAGGGAATAACATCTCTCTGGACATATGCCATCATCAGGGAGCAGCGCAGCCGCAGAAATATCTGGGGGGAGTGTTTTGGGACATTCTCGCCAAACTGGTTCCTGTTTGCTTTGTTCTTCGTTTATTTCTTCTTCACCCACTTTATTCCGCTTAGTGCTGACTTCACAGGTGGGAAGATCAGCTGCAGAAAAGAGCATCACATTTTCAGACACTTTTCACTTATGAACTTTGTAGCATAGAATGGGCTTTTTAATGTTTTGGTTTTTTTTTATTCTATATACTTTCTGACTTATGTCTTTTAAAACAAATGGCCTAAATCAGGTCTTTTAAATAGTGGCTGTACCTGCATGTTTGAGACAGGACCAGTACTTTTTATGGGCTGATCGAACACAGTGAAGGGACTCAAGTGCACTGAGAAGAAAAAAAAAAAGAAAAATCTATTCCAGTTCTACAACAACAACAAAACGTGCGACATTTGAAGACAGCTGTAAGAGACAAACACCTAAGACAGGGACCGTCGAGGTTTGCAGGTCGGGGAGCAGGATCTCCAAGTAAGGTCTGAACGGTCTGACAAACAGACTGGGGGAGGGACGTCAGGTTGTATCCTCCCTGAAAAATAAAAATGAAAACTATCACTAACTCTGATATTCACTCTAGCCTAAGTAATATCAAGTAATATTGGCCGACCGATATTATCGGCCCAATATCAGGATAATTATGTAATATGTAAGAATCAGTTTTTCCAATACCCCATAACCCCTGGGTTTGGCCAAATAATGTGCGCCCAAAAAATAGTTTTACAGAAATAAACTGTTTGGAAAATATCGGTATATCGGATATAGGCAAAAGATTATATCAGATAGTCCCTAGTACAATGAGAGTTACACAAATGACTAAAATTATACAAATACAAATATATTAAAAAATGAGTGATAACTCCTTGCATTGATCTCAATGGAATTTTCTCGTGTGATATTGCGAAAATGGGCTTACCTCCAGCACCGCACACAGCTTGCCACCTGCAAGGTTCATGAGTAGGTGAGTCAGGTGGGCAAAGATGTCAGGGGTGGCACACATCTCACCCTGAAACAGAGGCAGACACTGAAGCCAGAAGTCCATGTCATGTTCTGCTAATGGAAACCACCAAGTTACACCTTATAACAGACACATGCTAAGTAAAACATTCCTACAAAATTGACACACTTACATTTGATGTTTTTATTATATGATTAAAATGAACAGTATCAGTACCTCGGGGTCTCCAATGGCTGAGTCAAAGCCTGCACACACCAGCACCAAATCTGGGCAGAACTATGAAGCAAAGACAGATATTTACTTTGTCTTTTACAAAGTAAATATCTGTTTCCCAAATGATACATTAATAAATGTTTTTTACACTGGTCTTACTTCATATGCAACTGGTAAAAAAAGATGACAAAAGACTGAAAGGTAGTCGCTGTTCTTCATCCCCACCTGTGAACATTGATATGGACTTGGATTTAACTCATCAAAATAATTCTAGGCAGTTTAAAATAAAGAGCATCACCAGGATTCGAACCTTGTTCCATGGTACATTGACATTAAACCCAGCTCCTTTCTCATTGCCGACCCTGTCAAAGTCAGAGTCTCGAAGGTTGGGCCAGAATTTCTGGTGCTCATAGCGGTGCCATGAGAAATAGAGCACCCTGTTTGAAATATAAAAAAATCATTTCACCTAGAGTCAGCACATCAGTGATACATTATGTACATTCAGTAAATGCTCACCTTGGATCATCTTCAAAACAGTCCTGGACCCCTTGACCATGATGTATATCCCAGTCAACTATCAATATCCTGAAACACAATCAAGGTTAGGTTAGGTTAGACAACAACATGCACAGGTATGGAGAAAGAATTAACATGGAAACAGTGTATTAGGTGAAGTTACCTCTCTACTGCATATTTTTGTTTTGCATATTGTGCTGCTATGGCTACATTGTTGAACACGCAGAAACCACTGGCAGCATTGCGCATACTGTGGTGTCCGGGTGGTCTGTGACAAAGCAAGAATTTTGAGTATATGTAGTTAGTTTTTAAAATAGGAGCATGTATTCACTGGATATATGACAAATTTTATACAAGTTTTACAAAATAAAACACTTCATCTCAAGCCTCACCTGACCAGAGCCATGCCATTCCTCACTTTTCCCATCATGACACTGTCAACAAGTTGAAGTGCAGACCCAGCAGCCAGCTTGGCACAGTGATAAATGTTCTGGGATATTAAATGAAAGCATGTTTGATTGTAAGAAATAAAAAAATTAAAAAACACCAAACCAAAAAATCATTCAACCAGAATTCCACTAAAATAAAAGGACTAATACCAATGTGTACAGGCTAACAAGGAAGGATATAATGCTTGGAACTAACTGGGTGAAAGTAAACGTCCCCATACTGGGAGCAGAAATCCATCAAGTCTTCCAAAGTCATGTAAGGGGTTTTCTTCACCGCCTCCAAATATTCCTCACTGTTGGCAGCAAAGCAGTAGCAAATGCTGCTCAATAAATTGACTAATCGTGATTTTTTTTTCCGTTTAATAGGTTTGAACTAACCTGTGAACAAGAAGAATATCTGCATCAGTTGCCTCTCGAACAGGGAGGGAGACACATCGATCAGCGAGACCACTTTTCACCAAAGCTTCATAGCTTACAGTGAGACGTTCAGGAACTTCGATCTTACATGCTGGACTTTAAAAGTACAGTTTACCGTTTATGTTAAAAATGAAAGTGTGAGATTCAAGTACAGTTTATGTTATAAAGAAACTGACAAATAATTGTCAAGCTAAGTTAATATTTGGAAATGACGCTTTGACAGCACACTCACTGAATGGTACAAGGCGTTACAATAAAGCTTATACATAGTAAACGTTTGTTCTCCACGATTTCAGTTTACAAACAGTAAAAGCGTTATTTATTAAAATGCAAAAGTGGTTATATTTCAGGTAACACGGGAAAGTGTAACAAAGCCTTTACGTAACCCACAACAACAGAATGGCTTTTTGCAATTGACAAAAACTCAGACGTGAAGTGAACTAAACGTCACACCTAAGGCACAACAAAAAACAATTAAGCTCCTTATAAATTAATTCCACACTTTACCTAGCAAGCTACAGTTTAAACGCGCGTAGATGTACTTACTCTACCCAGAGCAGTTTGTAATTAGTCATCTCCTCGTCGTAAATCAACGCGGTCCCCATGTTTGTTATTTTGTATGTTATTCAACTAACGTGATTAAAACAGATATGAACCAAATCGGCGATGTCTTCATACACGTTGTTGACGTCTCGGATACTTGACGAAAAGACCTAAAAGTTGCGCCAATTGATCGAAATTACTGCCAATCAAATACTCAATGCAATCTGTCCAATCACAGCTGATAAGGGCGGGCGCATATGTCTAACCGGAAATAGTCATTGAAACCATAAGAAAAGTAAAATACATGCAAAATATCACAATGGTTGAACAATAAGTATAATGGTAATATAACATACAGGTGTTGTGTTAATATGAAACAAGTTCTTCCAATACATAAACAACATTTAAAATGCATGTTGTAACGATAAAAAACACAGCGAGTCTGTACAGGAAACGGCAATGTCACTGGCTACAAGAGTGAGCACACGATATTTGAGAAAGAAAGCGACGGGTAAAATGACCAAGCCGGGGAAAGTGAGCAGAACAGCGCGACAGTGTCGGCGCCACTTTTAAATTTGGGTGGAAAATGAAGCTCGGTTTAGCACTCTGTTGAGCACTAGATATTTCCTCGTATCAGGAGCAAAATCTTGCAATAGTTGCAGACCCGCAACATGAAATACTCGTAATTCAGTATTTGTTTATGCTCTATATTTATTTACAACAATGCAAAAACAAAAAAAACTGTGACAAAAGTAATGTCCAAACTCCAAGAGCTTAAAATAATATACAACTTTATAGTAATCATGACAAAAATACAAACAGAATACCCACTGTGACAGTTATGACTGTCTTTCATGCAGGAATCATGCAAGCTTGATCCAAGAACATTGTTACTTCCACAATATTCATTGGGAACATATGTTAATCATATGTGGATGTGTTTTTAATTATACAAAAGGTTTACAAGTATTTTTTCTAAAAGAGCATGTAGATGTGACACAAAAAGTTCAATCATACATTCTTCCAAGTTTCTTTTGTCCCCCATCCCACAGTCATCAGTCTGCTATCTCCTCTACCAACTGTCCCTCTGTTCTTTCTGCTGTTTCCTCTTGTGTTTTTGTGGGAAATGATGAGCTTCTTTCCTCTTTCTTTTCCTCTCCATCTATCTTTTCTTCTCTTCTCTTTGCTCCTCTTCTACATAATCTGCACAACATGAGAAGAGCTGCTCTGCACCGCTTTCTAAATGTTGGATCACAGGCAGCATAGAGAAGTGGGTTTAGGCAGGAGTTTAGGTAAGCCAAACAGGTAACATATGGGTGAACGGTTAGTAAAAGCTGTTCTAAAGAACAAGAGTATGGCATGAAACCAAAATCTAGGAGCATGAAAACTGTTTTGTTGACGTGAAACGGCAACCAGCACAAGAAGAACGCCAGCACTAAAGTGACAATGACCCTAAGGAGTCTTCGCTGGCGTTTCCGATCAGGACGTGGGCCCCGTCCAAAATGTTTGCTGAGCAACTGAGCAACTGAACAGTAGCAAACCAATAGGATGGCAAGAGGAAACAGGAAGCCAATAAGGGTTGATTTAAAACTCAGGATGGCTTCCAACCACATCTCGGCCTCTTTTATTTCTTCCTCATCCAAATCGGCTCCTAGTAGCATAGAGAAATTCATTTGACAAAACAGTAAGTCTCCAGACTCAGCTGTTTCTGTTTGGACAGAGCGTAACAGCAAACTAGGAAGTGCTAGCATTGTCGACAAAATCCATATTCCCCCGATTATTAGTAAAGCTCTGCTGGGGAAGCTCTTTGGGGTATTTTGCGTGGAGTGTCGACGTCCAGTCAGAACCCAGTATCTTTCCACACTGAGCACACTGAGGTTGAACACACTGGCGTACATGTTAAGAATAGTCAGGAAACTGCTGACTTTGCAGAGAAATTGCCCAAAAGGCCAGTGGTCGCCCAAGGCTGTGTAGACAGCCCAAAGAGGGAGAGTCACAACAAAGCTGAGGTCAGCTAATGCTAAATTGGCTATAAGAGACTCAGTCAGTGAGCGAGATAGGCGAGGGATAGGGGTATTATAGGAGGTGGGGGAAGAATGGAATGATGATCTGTTGTTTTGTCTTAAGTTTTCTCTGGTGTCAGGCTGAACTCTTCCATTGCTGTTAATGTCCCGATCACTGGTTGTAAAAATTTCAGTACAGCAAGTTTTTCCAAATAAAACTCGGTGTTTGAGTGCGATCCTTAATTTTCTTCCCTCACTTTGGTCCAGGGAGACCCAAAGGACCAGGGCGTTGCCTATGCTACCAACCAGAAAGATGAGCAGGTATACAAGAGGGATGATGTAGAAGGAAGGAGACCAGTTAGTGTAATCACAGTTGAAGAGGGGGAAGGAAGAAGGAGAGGGGGAGATAAAGTAGTCATCATCCAGTGGTCCGTCCATTTCTTGTGTTTTTACAATAATTAATCTTCCATTCATGTCAGTAGAGGTTCCTGGATTTGTAATGACTGGAGCCCTGTTCAGTTCAGTTAACTTGGTACCCTGTAAACAAAATAAAGAAAAAATAGTTTTGTACATAGTTAAAATATATAATACATAATCAAGACTTATGAATGATTTATTTGTAGCTGATCTGAAACCCAAACTATAATAATGTAAAATGCTTCTTAATATTTACATAGTGTAAGCTGTGTATAGCCTAATAAATATGCTGTACAAACACATGACAAATGAAAGATGAATATCATAATCTTTTATACAGAAAAGAAGTAAACCATGAGTTATAGGGTGGACTCTTACCTGGGGCTGACAAAGTCATTGTGGTGATGATGAAATTGAAGGATGATCCTTGTGAAGCGTCCTCTTGTCATTCAACCTGCTGTGTCACTTTCTCTGTCTTCTCTGTAACTCACTACTGTCTCAATACTGTGGCAGCCAGCAAGAGCAAGTCTTATAAAGCCCTCCTCTCTCTTAACAAGACCACCCCAACATAGAGTTACGAGATCTGCAAACAGTCCGTGTGCACACATCCCCAGAGACACAATAAGCCCCCCTCCCTTGCACACTAACTTAAGGCATGCAAACAGACACCCACAAACAAGCCCCCTTCTTGCGTCCGTCGTATTCTCTGTGCACAGACACAACCGCACCAACATACACATACAGTACACAAATGAGTGCAAACGCAAACAAACTTTATACTCGGTGTCTCAATTGTTTAAGCCCACGTTTCAGTGTTCTGACCCACAGAGGACGACCAACATTGTTTGACTGACTGACATCCACTAAGCACAGAGTCAGAAAGGTGTCATTGATACAAAGTGACAGTTTTAAAAGGCTTTGAATCATTGAGGAGGTAAATCCCACTGTGAAAGTTTTACCATTGCAGCTGTGTTTATTCCTTTCTTTGTAATTCCAGTAATGATTTCTCCAGTAAATTTTCTCATTTAAAAGAATGAAAAAGCATGTAATAAAAATATATGTCCAATAGCAGAATTATCAAGATATTTGATCATTAGAAATAGTTTGTTTCCTTGATTTTTTATTTCTAATCAAATTATTACTGTCTTACTGCATGTTTTCATTAATGTAAAGCATGATTACTCAAGTTTTTCACTTTACAACGTAAACATGTCTACACAAATCTAACATAATCTTTATTATGATCGATATTGGATTATTGTTTAGCTATCAATTTTTGGTTGTGGGGTTTAGATCATTTTAAATGTTAAACCCATACATTTCCTTTGCACCACATAGTAAAAAATAAAGCTCAGGTTTTATAAACCGTAAATATGAGGTAACACTGTCATTGTGTCACTTTACAGTTGGATACGGCCTCCATGATGGACCCCAGACTCTTAGGTTAACATGGGGTTAGAGTGTAAACATGTGGGAGGTTCCAGTAAGTAAACAGGAAGTGTTTGTTTCCACAGGGTGAGAGGTCACACTGCTGCCAATCTGTTGTTATGGAAACACAGGTTTCTAAGTCCTTTGTTATTTTGGTTAGAGAAAAACTTTACAAAAAAAAGTGCAAATACAACTGTTTCAATAAAGAGAAACAAATACGCTTTAGTAGAGTAGGAGAATAGTAGACTACGAACATTAAATAATAACAATACAATTTAAAGGCATAATCAAACTTTTAGTTTATTATTTTTTCAGAATTAGTTAAATTGTTTGAAAAAAAACATGATCTGGTAAAAAACAGATTTGATGGCATGTGCAGGAGAAATTACTCCTCTATACATGAAATATCACATTATCACTCAACAAAAATGTTTGAGGCGAGTAAAAACGTCATTGAATAAAACTCAGCACTTTGTATTCCAAAGAAATGACATTTGGATTCACATAGAACCCAACTAAGCACACACACACACCTACACACACTCACCGCTCTGAACAGAAGGTTTCCAACATAAACATTCAGTTCCTTGCAGTCTGTTGCAGCATGATCAGGTCTCAGTTGAACCAAGTGGTGTTGAGCTGGGTTTGTTTTTTTATGCTCGTGTCCAACTTGAGGACCTCTCTGATGGCCATGGTAGCATAGGTGGAAGGAGGCAGAGAAAACTCCATCCGCAGCGCCCGGTCCTTCCCTTCTGATGAGAGAAAGGTAAAAAAAAACCCCAAATAAATAATATTCCTAAATGGTCAATTTCATGAAAATAAAAGTGCACCATAAATAAGCCACGCATATTGAATACGTTTATCACAGATCTCACCTGTCTTGAAGACCGGTGCCGGCTTGTTCTCCAGTTTTTCAAAATCTGTGTGCACCAGTGAAATCTTGGGGTCGTCGTAATGAATCACTTCCCTGAAAAAAGGTCAAACAACATTTATTTTTCGTGCATGACTGTGCCTTTTCTGTTGATGATTACAGACAGAGAAAAAACCCAGGGAAATAGTAAAAACGTAAAGTAACAGAATAAGGGGAAAGTATGAGTGGACTACTGACCAGCTGACATCACTGGGTCTGATGACGACACGTCTATAAGCTCCAGCCAAAGAATAGTCCTTCACTTTGTGTCTCATGTTATTTATGTCCAGCCCGTCTGCAGACAGCAGCTCTTTGTAACCTTCACCCACTGATAAAACAAACCCCGGAAAAAAATGGGAATTAACCCACGGGAGAACACAATTTGACACAAGAACACAATTTGCTGTATTTTATCACAAACACCTTCACAAATGTCTTACCGGGATGTGTAGGATAGATGACATCAAACCCTGGAAGAGGCATCACAATATCATGGATGGAGGAATTCTCAGCCTCCTCTGCAGACAGCACATGTGCTGTGGCTTCATGAAGGAGAAACAACGAAGACAACAATGAGACACGAGCTTTATGTTCATTAGTCATGGAGGAGCTACAAGACGGAAGATCAAGATCTACTAACTGCCTTTTAGGACCAGGTCTCCCTCCGCCGGTTTAAGACCGTAGGCTTCAATCCTACGGCTCACCATGGTGTTCCACACCAGGCTCTGGTAACTGTGGATGTACATCAGGCGGTTGTTCCGGGGGATCTGAAATAAATCAAACAATTAATAACAATAATTCCTTTTTCCTCATTCCTTTTTTCAGTGTGTTCTTTTTAATCACTGTAAGACAGGAACATGACAAAACCAACCAGTCCGAAGGCATTGACGATGTTGTTTTTCCCGTACATGGACAGGCCTCGCAGCAGCTGCCCCTCCACGCAGCGTTTGTTGGGCAACTTTTTCAAGGCAGCCTCTGGATCTTGAGTCTTCGCCCACTCCTCCCTGCACCGCACCAGGAACTCTTTCTCTGCTGAAAATGGAAATGAAGAAGGACATTTTTAAAATACAGCTTCAGCGGGAAAATGTGGAAATAAAACACTTTACTTATTTTTTACCTCCGGGACGGGGCTTTAGTATCAAATCAACCACTTGTTTCCAGTCATTTTTCAAAATGGCCCTGTTCCAAATAAAAAGGTGAAAAAAAACGTTTTTGATAAATGTGATAATAGGAAATTCTACGTTAAAGTGCATGCATTTGTGTATATTTATCAAACTTACTTGCCGACCTGTTGCGTAGGAACAGCCGTGGTCCCAAACCGCTGCATACCAAAATAGTTGATAAAACCTGTCTGTTTGAGTGACGTCATGGCCTGGTGGACCTGCTCGTCTGTTCCTGAGATGTTTCTGAATCCCAACACATTTTTTGTCATCAAACTCTAATCATTTTTATAGCCGTGATTCTAAAGTTAGACATTTGTTGTCCTGAGGGTGAAATTACAAAACTACCTGATGACGACTGTGAAATTGTTGCCCTGCAGCTCGCCCAGTTTTAGAGGATGGTTTTTGTAGCAGAAGTTTCCAACCTTGAGGTTCATGAGACACTTGTTGAGATGAGCCAACCTCTCTGCTGTGATTCTGGGAGACACAGAACACATCACACCATAGGTTCTTATAAACTGAGCTGTCCTGACAGTCTGGTTTTTTGTATTGGTTTAGGTGCTTACTGTTAGCACAACAACAGACCATTACTGTAATTAGAGCTGAAAAATCTGCATTACATACAAAATGAATACTTCTTCAGTAGGAGTAATTATTACTACTTCATCAATACTTACTTCATCACAGCAATCTCCTGCACAGTGATGGCTCTCTTGTCCTTGGTTCCCATGTAAGAAAACATCTGGGGTCTGAGTCTGTGGACCAGGATCAATGCATTTCTTAATTGTGAACTTTTTTTCCCTTCACCTCAAACTAAGTAACACCAAAGTAAATGAGGAGACTACAAATACAATCGTACCTGAGGAACTTTGACAGCACGTTAATGGCATCCATGGTGTCTTTATTCTCCTTGTACAGGACAAAATGGCAAAAGTTGCCACGGTTTTTGGGCCAAAAGTGTTTCCTTGGAGCTTTGATGAACACACAAAAAAATGACAGAAACGACTGATGTTATTATTCCAATATTTATACTACAACATTCAAAGCCGTATATGACTTACATATAGCCTTAAATGGCTTTTATCATCTAATCTTTTTACCAATACCTTACTCCATATGTTGTCAAATAGGTTCTTACCTGCAGCTGTTTTGACATCTAGCCACCAGAGAAGAGCAAAAGGAGGATAGAATAATGTTACTAAGAACGAGAGTGACTGCAGACCTTTGGGGGAGTTGTAAGAATTGAGATCTCATGCATAAAAACTGAGAAAATGGTATGAGATTTAAATACTGAAAAAATAACAGGGATGTTTTGAAGATGCATATCTGCTTAGCGTTTCATAATTTGTGTTCAGCCAAAGGAGGACCTCAGTAGGAGTGTCATACATAAAGGATACGTTTACAACAAAAAACAAATTGGTAGAAGTCTGCCATAGGTTAAGAGCAGAATCATGCAGTTGTGCCGTCCGTGCTCATGTTGAATGCATGCATGGTTTATGACATGCACTGCCGTGGAAAATCAAATACATGCCAGGAAAAAAAACATCTACTTACTAAGCGTTATAAATACATTTTAAGGCTAGAAAAAAAAGTGTCCTTCTTTTATCTACAATACCTGCAAGTGCTCTCTTCCCAGCTGTATGGTACGCCACAATGAACTTGCGTCCATCTCTCTCCTCCGTCTTTGTTTCAAGACCAGGAAACTGAGTCTTGATGGCTTTGTGGACCAGTGTTCTCTTCTCCTTTGAGTCTTCCATCACCTATAGACATGAAAATGGTTACATGAGCCTTCTAAAGCACTAATATTGTCAACATACAGGTAATGGTTTAGCAGTGGCGTCACCTCTATAGAGACATTGCCCTCCTTGTTCTTGAAGAGTTGCAGCTCTCCCAGCTGCTTCTTCTGCTCTTCACTCAGTGAATCTGATTCTGTTGGCTGCTGCTCGGCCTCCGGGGCTTCCTGAAATAGAAAGTATTTTTAATCATTGGGTCACCATCAACTTTCAAAAAAATTGCAAATGGAATTGAATTCCAAATCTTACCTCCTGATCTGCAGGAATAGAGAGGTCATCTAATTGCACAATCTTCCCTTGTTTGTTGATTTCATGCACCACAAAATCAGAATATCTGAATACCCAAGAAAAAAATTAAATAGGATCCCAAACTGAATCATCTGATGGGACTTTCTAAATATAACAGTGTTCACCTTTCTTTCAGGATACCAGAGAAGCCCTCATGGTCGCTGACATATTTTAAAATGCCGACATCTGACTCAGTGAGACCATGCTTCATCATGTCAGCAAAGGTCTCTCCATCCTCCTCTACATCACTTGCTCCACCCTGAGGTTCTCCTTCCTCATCTTGGCGAGACTGACCGCCATTTTCATGATCGCTCTCAACTCTAGGTTTCTTCGAAGGTGTACCTTCTTCATTCTCTGGACAGACTCTTTTCTCTCCAGCCTGGAGGGGCACATGCTCCGAGTCAGCCATTCAGAGCCAAACTAGGACAAAAAGGACACATTAAAAAATAATTCTGCAAGTTAAAAGACATTTTAATAAAAACTAATGAAGAGCAACACAATAGAGCCATGGTCAGAATATGTGCAAAACAGAGGAAAAACTGACTGACGATTTAACCAAGGATCTAATGGAACTTCCTTACGTTGGATGTCGATGTGGTTGCGAATGTAAACAGTGGTTATACGACCGACTGCTGCTCTTCTTGCTGTTGTTTAACACCTTAAACAGAAGGAGTGGATGTTGACGCAGAACCTTTATAACAAACACACGCAGTTATCAACCACAATAAAGAACAATACAAATGTGACAAGGACACAAGTCCAAGAGCTGAATTGGACCCGAGGAAGGCAATATAAGTGTCAGCAAATTGGCATAACAAAAAATGCATGCAATAAAACGTATGAAAAACAAAACAAAACAAAATTTATCAAGAGATTAAAGAGTATAGTTTTGTATGTGGCCTAACTTAAACGAACTTCTGAAATTGAACTTTTACAAAGACGATCTAAAATGAGTTTTACACTTGCACCACAACGATGCGTTTTTGTTTTAGGCAACATGCATAAAAAGATACGCTAACAAACACGTTACCGTTGTATGGTTGTGAGCGTTTATGATAAACACAAACATGCGGCTAGCAAGTCATTTAGATGGCTAACATCGCATAGACCTTACCTTGTTAGCATCGGAGCTAACTCATATGAGTACAGTGCAAAGCAAGTCTAAAGAGTCTAAAGCACACGTTTCTGCCGTAAGATATTCACAAACAGAAAAGGCTGTAGAAGCAATAAACTGAGAAACACTATTCTCTCACACGTGTGTGTGTGTACGTGCGTGTGCCGGAAACACAACCTCGTTGAAAACCCGCCCACTGGATCCGTTTGGTTGGATGCTGCCTTCACGTGCTGTCGAAATAATAGGAGAAGAATGATTGTATTGTTAGTATTTTTAAACACTACCTAAATTTATACTATTCTATTTACGCGTGCTCATCCAATGAGTTGTGCATCGTCCATCTAACCATTATATCGTCCATCCAAACATTATATTTTTGATCTGCTAATAAATAATAAAATGCACCCTTACAATAATTTAATTCCAATCCTTTTCTATAATATTCAAAGCAGGTTTTGCGTACATAACATGATTGTCTGATCTAATTAAAAACATGGTTGTTGATTAATCCTTGATTCAGCAATGGGAATCTGATCGTATCGGCGCCGTGGCTTAGTTGGTTAAAGCGCCTGTCTAGTAAACAGGAGATCCTGGGTTCGAATCCCAGCGGTGCCTTTTCAGACTGCGTTTGCTCTTCTGTTGGACTTCCTTAGTTAAAAATAATGACTGCTTCTTAACGGTTAATGAGTGTTTCTGAACATATATCATACTCGCCCAAATCCTACAATGTACTAACCATTATTCTACATGTCACACACTGTACTGTAATGTGAAACCGACCTGTAAATCAGCCAAGATTCTCTGTCATTCAGGTGATTTTAGCAATAATAAAATATTGGTTTGCAATATAAAGATGTTAATTCTAGATTTTAGGTTTCTTTATTCTGATTAAAACATGAGAACAAGGACAAGCAATCCTTGTAAAGAAAAATTAAAAAATGACTTAATCAGATGAAAAAAAAACGGTGACCAAAATGGATGCAAAATGATGTCAATATACAGCGAAATCTCAGAAAAATATCGAGCATGTGAATGGAAATGTGTTCCTGGTAAAGAAGAGACAAGATGTAGTAGAGGGATGCAAACGACAGAGGGAGCGCGTGTTATGCAAAGATTTTTTTACGTTGCGCGTACTGGTTACACGCGCTCATATACACAAACGGACAAAAAGGGAAGGGTGAGAGACAGAGGAAGGGAGAGAGAGACATAGGGGCAGAGGGAGAGCGAGCGTTGAGATAAGAGCTGCTACCGCTGCTCCTGAAGGAAAGAGGAAACATGAGCTCAAAGAAAGGTGCGTATCTCTCACACTCTAAACTCTACTTTTGATTGTGGGTATTTTTATTTTTATGTATGTATGCATCATACAGGGAGGCGGAAGTTAGACTTGCAGATATGTCATACCAGTGTAGGCTAAACAACCGTCAGCTGTAGAGCCTCACATACATCATGTGTGTCTCCTCTCTCTCCACGTCTCCTGCATCCGTTCCCGGACCCGGACGTCGGTCATGCCCGCTGATGAACGGAATCTCACCCCGGCAGTGATGGCCATCCAGGCCAGGAAGAGGAGGCCGAAAGGGAAAAAGGACAAAACGGGTCAGCACCGGAGGTAAGCGGGTGGAGGAGGTTTAGTTTAGGCGGAGTGCGCGACGTATGTCGTGCGTTGAGTTTGTTTGGTTTTGTTGACAGCTACTGCCTCTGTGTGCGATGCCGGTGCGTCGGCGGTATGAACTGTGAACGCGTACAGCACAAGGCGTGGATTTACACGGCACAGAATGGACCACAGTGTGTGTGTGTGTGTGTGTGTGTGTGGAGTGTGGGAAGTTGTCATTTGCGTTAACACACTCAGACCGTTTTTGTGGACTTGGAAGTTCCCTCAGACTGAACTCTACTCCTCCATTGATGTAACAATGTAGTGCTGCAACCCAAATCACTGTCTTAGGTTAGGATTAAGGAATTAAAAAATTATCATCTATTTATATATTTAATGTTGCAATAAGGCGTATAGATGGGTTTTTACGCACGTGTCAGCTCATATGTACACTACTGCCCCCAGCGTCGTTGGCAGGAGGCTGACTGATGAGGAGCACAACACATCCATTTATCACCCAGCCTATCAGGGAATCCCTCGCCTCACGTGCCTTTTGATTACGTAACATCACTTGGATATGACAGAGCATCGTTAGCTGATGTGTATTTATGTATATGTGTATATGTGTCTGTGTTGACGGTGATGGTTTTGCAGCAGGGTTTTCCCCCCCTCAGGCGTGAGCTGCTGCAGCAGCGCAGTGGTTGTAAAGTGACTGTGAATGGTTGTGGAGAAGGCAGGGCTGACTTCATGCATGACATGATGCTGTTGCAGCACCTCTGCCGGCAACACCGGCATCTCATCAGTAGGCTGCTGATGTAAAATCAGGTACAGCAGGAAGAGGAGAAAATGCCGTGCACAACTCCTGGAATGGAACATGCATCAGCATCTTTGCATCACTGCTGTGGCCACTATACTTCCACACTGGCTCAGACTGGGTTTCATTGATACTTCTGCACGCCATTAATCGTTGCCAGTTGTCCTTTTCGCCGGAAATGACAAACCAGGGGTCTGAACCGCCCAACACCCAAAACTGTCATTTTCATTATCTTAACCAGCAAAAACAGAAATATCATGGTATTGTAAGTACTGCAGTAAGAGAAGCTACTTGTCAAGTAGCACATTGGCAGATAGCTCTATTCACATCCACTACCATCTCAGTCTTAGTCTCAATTGGAATTTCAAAATTTAGAATGCAATATTTGATTTCCCCCCCAAAAAGTCACAAGTATCTGGGTGTACTACCATAACTGAGACAAAACTGTAAAAGTTAAGAGTACAAACCAACATCAGAATGTGTGGCTGTGTCTTCATTCATGAGGCACTGTCCATTTATTAATATGCATTACATTGTTGTGACCAGCCTGGTCATAGCCTCCTAACCTTCACCAGCTCTATTCACTACATGCCAATATACAGAGGTGGCTCTTGGTCTAGTCTTATTTTTTTTATTTTTAAAAATCTTAATTTTTGCCTCTTGCACTCAGGAATGTTGTGGTTTCCTCATCAGTCCATCCAGATTTCCTCTTGCGTATCTCTTCCCATTTGTTACTTTTTAAGCGCAGTGAAATGTGACGCTAGATTGATGTCTCAGTTGAACGTCACTCCAAATAAAACAAATAGTTCCAGCTCTTGCTTTATGTATTGCGGACCTCAAGTCTTTGGCTTTGATACTCTGTGTTTTGTATTGGTGTAGGACCAGTGTGTGGTAATAAATTGCAATTAAAATAGTGGTGCGTTTAAATCAAAACAAAATCCTAATGTAACGTCTGAAATTCTTTCGACTCAGAAGGGATCTGTGTTCATGAACATTTCTGGCCATGTCACTGTCAGTATAGTTTATCGTCGATGTCAATCTTTGGACAGCAACAACGCTTCCTGTAGCAGTATTGCAGCCCAGCCTGACGGAGCTGATGCCGAGCACTGAACACACAAGCTGCATGCAGAGAGGGAGAAGGTGTGTTAGGGACGATGGGAGAGAGGGACAAAAGCTGGAGTGGTGGAGTACAAGATAAATAGGCAGACGCTGAAGAGCAAGGGGGAGTGAGAGCATGAAAATGGGGAGTTGCATGTGTGGAAGCATGTGTGAAGCAAGTGAGTAAGGATAGTGGAAAGAGGGAATTGGAGGATGCCACGAGGCAGAAGTCAGGAAAATGAGGGGTGTACAGTACAGTACGGTGCATACGTTGAGTGAACGGCCCAGAATGCTGGTTCATTTAGGTCCAGATCGGTCTGACTGAGTGTGTTTCAGTTATTTGTCTGCTTTTTATCTACATTCAGAGTCACTCTCCGTGAAACATCATTACAGGTCAAACCAGAATCAGCACAGCTTTGAACACAGACCTGAGAAACAGTCATGTTTGTATTTTTAGAGTTCATGTCCGTCACCATGGAGGAACACTCCACACCTACCATCACTCATAGCATCAGGATTGTGAGGTCATTAGATCAGCCTGCAGTGAAAAAGTACACTCCAAATCTGTGGAAAGAATACAACGTTAAATTATATTAGGAGTAATCATGTATTTAAGTTATAATTGGGAGAAATCATGATTATGCTTTAGATATAGGTAAGTTAGGTAAGTGCACACTTAGACTTATATACATATATATTGAGTTTATGTAATATAATTGACTAATGCTTAACTATAGGACCGCCAGCGCCACCTAGTGGGCCACGAAAAAACTCCGCAAGAGCCACAGGCCTGCACACGTTACCAAATGAAAATACTAGAGATATGTTATTGATGAGCTCAGTTACAATGCAGCTTTTGACCACATGGTGGCGGTAATGTATCAGTCAGTTCTTTAATATGCTCCAATATACAGAGAAGAAGATTGTCTTCCCTATGGTAGCTGTAGCAAAGAGTATAGAGAAAATGGGAAAAGACAAATAATAGATTAAGGGGCAGCATTCTTAAAGATACACACACCACCATACACCTCTAGTGGCCAGATCAATGACATGTGAGGTTGCTTATAGTATATATGACTTCATGTCTATAAAACTAGCCTAAGCCCAACAGTTATCTAAGCATAGTCTGCTAACATGCTAAATGTCTTTTTATTGTTACAAAATGCACATTGAAAATATGAAATACTACTCATGCCGAATACTGACGTAGTTGTTTTCCATAGACTTTAATTTAACTGCTATTAATTAACATTGAAGAAACTACTGGAAAAGATCCTCTCTCAACCTAATGACTCCACAAATGTGATTCTTATCAACTAACGTTTTGACACAGGCCTTGGACTTTACAATTAGTCATTGTTATACGTTGAATTGTAACCTGATATTCGCTGCTTCCTCTGTGGTGTCTGGTGTTCTCCCGGGTGACCACAGTTTCGGTGTTAACACTGACCGACAGTATAATAGGTGCTGGGAATTCTGTGTGAATAAAACTCACCTTTAAAAGTTTGTGTGTCTGCTG